GCTGCTGCTCCCGCTCCTTAAACTTTCATATTAAGGCGGGGGCCACAAACTATCTTCCCACAGGCCGAAATTGGCCCCTGGGGTCTCAAACCCTCAAAAAGGGTTTGAGACCCCTGTTCTAAAGGGAGTGCATTCCACAATCTGGGAACGACAAAGGGGAAAGCCCTCTTATGGTGCCCACCTGCAGCCCTCTGCAAATGGCCACATCCTTAGAACGGCTGCTCCCACAGGTTCACAGCAAGAAAGGGACCCTTTATGATAAGAACATCAGCCCTCCTTACGTACACCATCTAGAACCTCTGACCATGAATTGTGCTTGCTGAGGCTTCTGGGAGCAGAAATCCAGAACTCCTGGAGAGACTTGAGTTGAGAATCACTGCCTTAGACAGCCCTGAACCATGACTGGGAACCTGGGGCCCTCCAGACATTTTGGACTTCAACCCCCAGAGGCTTCAGCCAGCACGGCCAGTGGTAAGTGATTATGGTAGTCCAAAACACTTAACAATGTAAAGGTTATCTTAAGATTATCACCTTGATGATTGATCAATTTTAATAATTCCGTGCTGTCAAATCAATTCTGGCTTATGGCGACCCTTTTCAGGGTTCTTCAGGTAAAGAATACTCAGACGTGAATACTCATTCCCTTTTTCTGGGGACGCCCTGGGACTGTGCAGTTTGCCCAAGGCCACACAGGTTGGCTCATTTTCCAGAAGGCACAGTGGAGAATCAAACTCCTCAACCTCTGGGTCTGCAGCCAGATATCTAAACGGCTGAACTATTCAGCCAGCATTTGATTTATATACCGCCCTATTAGTGAAAGCACTACTCTGGTCAGTTTACAGGTTAAAACCTATAACCCCACAAAATACATTCAACAATGTGGTAATTCGCAAGCATAGGTTTAAATGTCATACAAAAGAGGGGGAAAATGCAAATTAACAGCACCCAGGAGAATTAGTTGTTGAAGCCTGCTTTGAATAATTCTGTTTTTGTCAATTTCCTGAACATACAGAAGAAAGGAGCCGGGAGTATCTCAGTTGGTAACTTACTCCAGAGACTGGAAGCCACTACTGAAAATGCCTGATTCCTTGTCGTCACCTTTTTGGCTTCCTTCGGTGTAGCCCCTTTTAGCAACGTGGACTGAGAGGAGATGATGAAATGGCAGCTGATTTCTGAGAGAGATGTTCCAACAACTATTGAGGTCCTAAATCTTTAAGGGCGTTCTGGTCATAACAGCACTTTGAATTAATTAAGCACGGAAAGTGACAGGGAGCCAATGGAGGCACACCAAGACTTCGGATAGGATTTACCAGTTCCAGAAATCAGTCCGGGCACTGTATTTTGGACCTGTTGAAGTTTCTGAATCATTTTCAAGGGCAGCCCTATATAGAGAGCATTACAATATCATATTTTTGAGATTACCAATGTGAGAGCCACTGTTTTTAGGCATTCTTATCCAGGCAGGGGGTACAATTAGGCAATCAACTAGAGTTGATAAAAGGCACTCTTGGTCACAGCTGATAATTGGAGTCTCCATGGAGACTGCCACATCAAGGAGTGCCCCCAAGCTGCAAATTTGATCCTTAAGGGGGAAAGTAACCCCACCAAGGCCAAGTAAATTTCCCTCTAACCAGTCTGATAATCCTCCCAACAGCAGGATCTCCATCTCATCTGGATTCAGTTTCAGTTTAGTGGCCCTTGTCCAATACATTATCGACCCTCGGCAGTGCTCAAGGACATATACAGCATCACCTTGCGTGAGGACCAAAACAAAAAACTGGCCACCAGCATTGATGGCTTGTTGCTGGAGTAACACATTCTCCACAATGTGCTCCAGTTAGCAGCACAGTTGCCACATTTTGCAGGATATTATTTTATTGATATCATTCAAGGGCAGCAAATAGGTCTCCTTTTACAGAAATCTGTACAGGCTGCAGAGTTAAGCTTGCACTATTATCATTACAGTGGTGCCCCGCATAGCGACGTTAATCCGTTCCAGGATTAACGTCGCTATCCGGAATCGTCGCTAAACGGAAAGAAAAACCCCATAGGAACGCATTAAACTCCGTTTAAAGGGACGTGGTGGCGCTGCGGGCTAAACGCAGAAGCCTGTGCTGCAGGGTCAGAAGACTAAGCAGTCGTAAGATCGAATCCACGCGACGCCAACCTAGCGGTTAGAAAGCATGCAAATGCAAGTAGATAAATAGGGACCACTTCGGTGGGAAGGTAATGGCGTTCCGTGTCTAAGTCGCACTGGCCATGTGACCACGGAAGATTGTCTTCGGACAAACGCTGGCTCTATGGCTTGGAAATGGGGATGAGCACCGCCCCCTAGAGTCCAACACGACTGGACAAAAATTGTCAAGGGGAACCTTTACCTTTACCTATGGGGGGAAAACTCACCGTTGAGCGAAGATCCTCCATAGCGCCGCCATTTTCGCTGCCTCGGTAAGTGAGGGCAGCACGTGAAAATGCTGTGGGCGGCCATTTTGTGCACCTGGCGGCCATTTTGGAACCGCCGATCAGCTGTTCCACAAACATCGCAATGCGAAGATGGGTAAGCGAAACGTTTACCGATCATCGCAATGTGGTGTTTTGCGATATAAAACATCGCAATGCGATCGCATTAGCGATCACAAAAAACGCATCGCTATGCAGATTCGTCGTTAAACGGTGCACTCGTTATGCGAGGCACCACTGTATTTTGAAGCAGAATCTGGATTTTTTGAGAAAGACTGCACACGCAAAGCTCTGTTGAAACAACATGATGTCACTGATGGCAAAGGAAATCACACCAAGCAGTCTAGCAGCAAAACAAAATATGTTGCTCCCAGCACCACCTGGGCCCTTCTCAGACAGCTCTTTTTCTCTTATACCCTTTTGGCTCTAATAGTCTTCAGCAGGACCTAGCTATCAACACAGTATCTTCCATATTTTTTTAATCCTTTTCAGCCTCAACCACAAAGACCAGTTGTTACGAATGATGGAAGCTGCAACCCACCAACATCTGGAAAGGCCACAGATATGACACCAAGCCTACAAGAAGTAGCCTGTCGCAAGATTCAGGCTATAGATGCTTTTCAGAATCTTCATTGCATTTAAAAGAAAAACTTCTGCTGAGTGTGTACACAAAAGGTAGCACCTCAGTGCTCTTTTTTCAAGATTCAGGCTATAGATGCTTTTCAGAATCTTCACTGCATTTAAAAGAAAAACTTCTGCTGAGTGTGTACACAAAAGGTAGCCAATCTCTGGTTACCAATCTTTTCCTGGTCCCCCTTCTTCCAGCACATTAGAGTGAACTGTTACTTCTAGAAGTCTCTGGACATAGCTGTCCAACTTTTCAATGGTTTGCAGAGTTCCCTGCGTAGTTTAACATGCACACATACCAATTTTCCTCCAAAGCTAAAAGTAGGCTTACAGCCACTTCCAATTTTGTTTTTGGAATTTTGGAAGTCTGTATAAACCGTAAAGAATTCCAGGAGCAGAAATTTGAGCACTGGTCCCATTGAGGTTGGCCATCTCCATTTAAGCAATTCTAAGACTTCTAGCTCCTAAGCTGTCCCTAAACAGACCTCTCAAGGACTACTTACCTGTGAGTGAACCCCACTGAACTTCAGGACTCCTTATTTCTTTCAAGGCAATAGTTAGGACTGCTCTGTTAACTACCATGGTAGTTCTGATCCATCCCAAGCAAAAAACTTCCCCGTTTGCCCCATGTCAAGTTTATCTATAATATGCATGAGACAGTTAACAGAGTGTTCTGGGGGAAAGAGTTTGCCCTTGGGCACATTCTTCTGATAAGGTTTTGACAGGTCAGTGTCGACAGTTCCTGGGTGCAAGGAAACACATACTACTTTAGCCTTCCCTCTTCTGAGTTCAATGCTGAGGTTCTTGGTGGCCATGTTCAGAGCTGCTTTAGACATCCGGTAGCTATACCACCCACCTAAGCCTGGAAAACAAAGTAGAGGTTGGTCAACAGGTTCAACTTGTGTAGCATCTCTGCAAGTCACACCCAACACCTCAGCCTGCAATGTTTTAAGTGCTCCTTCAAAAGAGTGAAATAATTTCTGAGGACACACAGCTGGTAATTAAATCTACTCTAGAGGAGGCAATTAAAGAGATGAGGTCACATCAGGAATTCTCTATTGCTATAGTAATTATCAACAGTATCACAGCTAACAATGAATGTGACTCTTGAGATACAGTTAGGACATGAATTTTCTAATGATACAATAATTACACTGCAGCTAAAACCTAGCCCTGCAGGACTCCCATTACTAAGCCTAAATATAGCATACTTTGTATCTCTCACAGCCTAGGATCACGGTCATAGTTTATGCATCCCACTTGTCAATATTAGTCACTAATTTTTATTACTTCCTGGGGAGTATAAATCAGTAAGTCAGAAATTAATCACCACAGCTAATTTTGTTCTGACTGCGACCGGCCCCGCCTATATTTTGATTCTGTAATTGGTCTAGCTTCACACCCCTAATCTCCACTTTAATAATGCCCACATTCTGGGAGCCAAGAAAGCTGTCAGTCCTTAATAGATATGCATGTATATGTTTTCAAGTCACATGTTCATTGTTGCTAGAGGTGAGCCAATCTGTGATTTCTGGACTACAGATCCCAGAATTCCTCCGGCAGCTATGCTAACTTAGGAACTTGGAGGAGTTGTACTCCAAAACACAAATCTCCAGACCTCTAATTGTTATATATGGGGTTTTATATATAGGTTTTGCCCATCTCCATATTTTGGAGCCTTTGGGGAAACAAGAAGTTGCTCCTACCTCAAATACTGTGCTTCAGGAGTGTTCTTACCCTTTGTGGAAAGCAGCACAATGAGAACCTGCCCTCCCTTCTGTGTGCATATGTGTGAGAGATAGGAAGCACCAGCATTTCCTGGTGGTTTATGAACTCAGATCCTGAATCCCAGTAGTACTCTGGTGTGGCTGAACTTTTCAAAGGCAACAACTTACAATATCAACAATAGGAAGCCAGCTCATATCAACATTTGTGGGCTCCTGAAATGAGTGATAACTGAAATTACAAGGGCTGGAGGATGAAGCAGGGACTTGTCTTAGGCTGCTGGTCTACACAGCTGGATCTGGCTGCAGGATTCTCATGCTGGCAAAGGGTGGCCCTCCAGATGTTGCCGGACTGCAATTCCCAGCAGACCAAGTCAGCAAAGCCAATAGTGAAGAATGCTGGGGCCCATCACTGCTAACAGCCTAAAATGCACTGCTAGCATAAACCATTTTAGGTATGAAAAACAGGGGGGGGGGAACAGGCCCAATGTCTGAATAATTTTTGTTCAGTATATTCCCACTCTGTATCTGATTTATACAAGGAATTCTAAGAGGCTTTGTGCTCAGTTATTTGCTATTTTGTTACTTTGTTGTTTTGTTACTTGTTGTAAACTGCCCAGAATTGCCTTGGCTGCCAGATGGGCAGTATACAAATCAAATCAAATCAGTCAATCAATCAAACAGTGGAAATCTGCCTCTAAATATTACTGGACTACAATTCCCATCATGCTTAGACACTAGCTATACTGTCTAGGAATATATAACACCTTCTGGAAGAGCACCAGTTCTCCCAACTCTGTTACAGAGCTATACAAATGATAAATCAAAGGTACTTATCAAATACATCTCACCCACCTTCAGGGGAAATACTGTACATTTTGTCTGAACAGTCAGTGCTACTCAGCAGGTTATGTTGTTAACAAAATTAACAGGAACTATTGTTAGATAGATTCCTCAAAGCCAATTCAAAGGGCATTGTATTACTTGTAAAAACAACAACTCTCATCTCTGTATGTTCAGGCCACATCTTAATCTGGATTGTAGGAATGCCTTTGGAATGCAGAACCTTCTCTCAATACAGGATCAGCTACACGTAGACTTTTCAGTCCTGTAGCTGTCTGATAGATCAGAAATAATAAGCACACATCAAAGCAAAATAAACACATTTCAGCAAAAGTGCTGTCATGAACCTATAAAGTTCTTTTTCACATTCTCTTCCCTGTCTCGCTGGCATTTGTTCTTAAGTTCACATGCACAGTTTATATCAGTTCACATGTGTAAATTGGTTATATATTTTATCCATTTGGTTCTCCTTCACATGTACATGAATATATGATACAGCATCATTGTGGCCTAGACTGAAGAGAGTTATATGCTGCCCTACTCAGCAGGGCTTTCAAAGGGGAAATGGTGCCAAGATCATGGACATACTTTGGCTCATACTGAAGTTTCTCCATTCATTTGTTACATGGAGAAAATAAATTATCAATTAAAAGCTGTAGAAAAAACATTTCAGAGGAAGTTTCAACAACATTCAACCAGCAAAGATTCTAAAATGAGTAATATTAATGAAACTCTATCAGAGTTCTGCTTCCCCATAGATGGAAATTATGCTTTTCCCTTGAATTGCACAGGTCTGAGCAGTATGGTTTAGGTTATACCTAGATTTTTCTTCAATAAATAAATAAACAAACCATTCAATAAATCAATCTGCATCCCTGGCCACCCAGAACAAGGGGCATTTTAACATTGAAGGCATCAGAGTTGTCTACTTGCCCCCAAATGCAACATTTCTAATTCAGCCTCTAAATTATGGGGTCATAAGGACCTTTAAGGCTCATTACATATGGAACTGTATATGGAAAGGATTGTCAGTGCTGTGAAAGAGAACCCCAACAGAAAGAACTGTTCTCTCTCTCTCTCTCTCTCTCTGTGTGTGTGTGTGTGTGCGTGCGTGTGCGCACACGCGTGTGTGAAAGTGAGCAAGAGCGAGAATCAACTGTTTATGCTTCCGTAATTGTGTGTGTGTGTGTGTGCACGCACGTGTGTGAAAGTGAGCAAGAGCGAGAATAAACTGTTTATGCTTCCGTAATTATGGTTTTGGGGCATGAGTTATACGTACATGGATTTGGAACTACACAGGGCTTCAGCACCCCTAGCCAGCATTGTTGAAGGGAGAAGTGTACCTCAAGGCCCAATTAACTCCAACCACTTTTAAAAAACCTTTCATACAATGTCTGTCAGGGTGAAGCCCTCTATTCATTTACTGAGGAACAATCTGTGCTAACAGATTGAAAAAGCTACATTTTAAGAATCAGATACTGACCAATATTTAGGATTTCCAGGTCACATTCCTGTCATGTTGTCCTTACCATTGTCTCCTATGGACCCTACTTTGGCTGTTATATTCACAAGGAGCGCCTGATGCTTTCTGTCCAGGTCAGCGTGCTGGCGTCCAAACGCTCCTGTTCCATTCAGTAGCAGTGGAGAGAAATGTTTGGCCACCAATAAAGGGCCTATGGCGTTGGTTGCCAGTGTAACGGAGAGACCCTAGGTTGAACCATAAATAAAAATGAGCAACTGAAATACAGCAGAGTTTCAGAACTGACAAGACTGAATCAGACCAAAGGCCTCTCTGACCAACATTTTGTTCATACGAATAAAAATGAGCAACTGAAATACAGCAGACACAGAGTTTCAGAACTGACACGACTGAATCAGACCAAAGGCCTCTCTGGCCAACATTTTGTTCATACAGTGGCCAATCATTTGCCTTGGAAGCCCTCTAGCAGGACTTGAATGCAACTGCACCTTCTGCCTCAGATCCCTCAGTTTCCTGCCTCTGATGCTGGAGGTGACTAAAGGAAACATGGAAAATGACATCCATAACAAAGCCTAATAAATGTGCTATGCCATCATCCTTCATGGACTACGGTTACACAGCTTAAGTGACAGAATGATATACTGTAATGACCCATCACTGTCAGCAGCAATGCTTTTCAAGAACAAGTTGCTGCCACAACATTACATTTATTTAGCCTATGATGCTAACCATCAAACATCTATGCAAGAATGATGTTGTGTCAAGTGAGGAGAGGGGTGATGTGTGCTGTCTGCCTGCAGGATGTTTTTGAGGCCACAATATGCCTACCCCTGAGCTAGGGTTTTATATAAGTACACATGTTTAGTGCTGATGACTAAGTTATGCTTACTTTAAACAAGCATCATTGGCTTTTCATGGCTGGCAATTACTTATTACTCATACAGTTCACTACCATTTGGGTAGGAAATAAAAAGACAGATGAGGGGAATCTGTAAAATGGCAACAGTTCGCTCAAAAGCTAATAGCATATAGCCTTTGGGGAGACCCCAAAACTGTTTCTTCCTAAGCAGTGTCAAAACTCAGTATTTCTCATCCTCTGCTGGCTACAACAGTAATTTTGTTTCCGTAACACTGGCTAGGCCCACACTAATGAGTTAACAGTAGTGCTGGCCAACCTCTTCAATGTGGTGTCAGAGAGACAAAGAGGACAAAACAGTAGGTAACACCTTTATTAGACCACTAAAAATCTCATAAACAAGGAAGCTCTGAAATCCTTCAGATTTCATCAGGTTGGGCACTGCACAGCAGTCAGGGCACAAATTGAACGGGAAAGTCACCAATGCCATTAGGGTCAGACCTTGTCTTTCTTGTTAAAAGTATGCTCCAAAATGGAGCCTGAAACTTGTAGTTGTAGTTTTCAGTGGTGCATATGGGCTGAAATCCAGCTGACACAACCCTGCTGGGTGAATGGTGATGACACCATCACTCGCCAACATCATTCTTTATTTTACTTTAATTTAAAACTTCCTCTTCTTCAGGTTTGGAGGCTCTACAGGGACCCCCTTTGCCCTGAGGAACTGTTTGGGAGCCTCAAAACAGTTGAGGGCCGAGAACCTTTAATGTCAAAAAATTGCTGGCAGTGGTCCTGCCAGTGGATCAGGCACATTTGTCCAATCCCCCAATCATACAGCACCATCTAGTTATCAAGATTTACAGCCCAACACAACCATTTTTCCTTCCAAGATGAATAAAAATCAATGGTTGTTTAAAATCAAATGGTTTAAAATCATGATTTAAATTTAAAAACCACCAATTTCTGATTTAAATCATCCAAACCCCCTGATATTTAAAATTTAAACCATGATGTATGTACATTCTGATCAATTTAATTTAATTTAAATCAAATACAGTACACTGTTTTCTTCAGGAAAAAAAAGGTGTTAAATTCAGTCAACAGGCCTTCCAATTTAGTTTACATCATTATAGGACAAGAAATGCTCCTTCAGGCAGTTGAACCAGAATACAGTATCCATGCAGTATTAATCAAGTCATAAAGCTTTCTCTCACATGTGCTAGTTTGCAGTGCAGGCTGGTATAAATGCTTCCCCACCAGAAGGTGTCTCTTTAAAGTCAGGATGCTAGCATATTGGTAGGGAAAGGAATCTAATATTACTCTGGAACATAATTTACTGTGTGCAGGAAACTTTTTATGTTTAGCATGTTTATACTTGGAACCTCAAAAAAGTATCCATAAAGTTTTTTTCAGTGGTTCAAAAGCACTTCATATTTGTTCTCTTGCTACGGTCCTTATAAAAATTCCTATAAAGTGTGCCAGTATCAATATCTCCATATTCTGGATGAAGATAAGAAAGCACAGTTTACCTAAGAGTTTTGAAAAAATTCTACCTGGGTCCTTCTTAACGGCGAGTTCTGATAGCTATTAAAATTAACCTAGGCCACTTTATTTATACATTCCAGAAGTTCCCAACTAAACTATACTACATAAATCACCCTTCACAATAAGACATGTGTTGGGCTTATCTTAGCCATAAAAGTTAGACGTATAAGAACCCTAATGATTAGAAACTTTGTTACAATGATTAGAAACTTTGTTACAAAGCAGATAAAAGAGGTCTTCCCAAACTCAGGATTGGGGGAACTGTATATGCTCAGGGTTCCCTTCCTTCCACATACTGTATTAGATCTGTGACATCCCAGCGACTCCAAGGCAGACTTCACTTTGAGCCTCAATGAAACTAACTTTTCTCTGTAGTTATGATTGATTAACCCAAGCAGTGGTCCCCAACCTTGGCCCTCCAGATGTTCTTAGACTACAGCTCCCAGAAGCCTTCACCACCACCTCTGCAGGATTTCTGGGAGTTGAAGTCCAAGAACATCTGGAGGCCCAAGGTTGGACACCACTGCATGGCATAGAGTGACCAGATGAAAAAAGATGACATAGTTTCTGCAAAGGCAAGTCTAATCATGATAATCAATGTGGTGTAATAGACAGAATGACAAACGGAGACTCAAGAGACCTGGAGTCAAATCTCTGTTTGGACATGGTCACTTACTGAGTGGGTGTGTCTGATAAAACTGTTCGTCGCCTACCTTGAAACGATCAGATTGCTATAAACCCGATATGACTAAATAAGAAGGAAGAGGCATTCATTAGTGTTAACCTGGGCTGCAGGCTTCGAGATCTCCTAATTCCCCAACCCTCTCCTTCTTTCCAAAGCACGACCCCCCCTCCCACCTCTGCCGAGACGTCGCGCAGGCTCGTCTCCCCTCGGCCGCTGGGATGCAGGATCGCCCCACAATTGACGAGCAGGTCCAGCCGGCCATAGTCTTTGGCCACCGCCTCCGCCGTCTCCCGGACCTCCGCCTCCCGGGTCGCGTCCAGCTGGAAGACGGCCAGGCTGTGGGGGAACCCGGCCAGCAAGGCGTGCAAAGCGGTCGCCTCGGCGGGCCTCCTGCAAGTGGCGATCACCGTGGCGTCCTTCCGCCTGGTCAGGAGGTGTTTGCAGAAATGCAGCCCGAGCCCTCGGCTGGCTCCCTGCACCAGCGCTACGGCCATCCCTACTTGCTTGCTCGCCTGCCCGCCCCTCACATGCCCGGCTACTTCTACCCTGCCTAGAAGCGAGTCCTACGGAGTTCAAAGGCACTGGATTGCAAATGAGGGCATATAAAATGGCAGCCCTTAATAACCGTTCCCTCTGGATCAACCTCGAAACAACAAAACCTGCGCTCCAAGTTTTGCTAAATGAGTAACTCCCTCCTACCGCTACATGCCGTGGGCACACCGAGTGGAAAGATCCTCACATCAATATAGTACTATCACCATGCGCCCTACTACGCCACTTCCCGGATGAAAAACACAACCCCTGCAAACTCTCAACCACGTGGATCCTTCTTCCCCTCCCCTGGCCCCGCCGGTTTCGGAGCCCGCCGGGACTCGTAGTCCAACGTTGACGAGCGTGCCACGCAAACCATTCATCAAATTCACGTTTGGTGGCGCAGTCAACGCCCTTAATCCCATTCCCTTTTTCCTACCCACTCTGACGAGGAGTTCTGCAGATCTCCAAAGCCTGCACCTCCTCAATTTGAAAGTTGGCGTTGGCGAAACCCCTGTATCGTCTCCCCCCCACAACCCCCGTGGATTGTAGACCTTGTTGTGTGGCCCCCTGGAAGGCTAGCATGTGTGATTTGGCGTAAAAGTCTCCGGCAGCACTACCCGAACGCCAAATACAACTTGCTAGTGTTTCAATTGCAAAAGACTGTTGCATTTGTTACAACAACGTATTCTTCACGGCGGTGTCTTCCTGCGGCTTGTATTGGATGCAAGAGATTGGCGCGCTCCAAAGGCGGATCTTTTTTTTAAGCACGAAAACTACATTTCCCGGCGCGCTCTTCGGCGCCGACGCGAGCTCCCATGAGCCCTTGCAGCTAGATTTGAAAAGGAGACCGCGGCTTACTGACTCGTAAGAGAGGACTCGGGGAGGGGAGAGGAAAGGAGTCGGGTCGCCGGTGGCCTTGGAAGCGCTCCGCTCAGCTGGTTCTGGGACCGGGCCGTTGCGGCCCTTCCGGTGTGGGCCCCTGAATCCTGACTCGGTCCCCACACATAGTGAGTAGCCACTCCTGGTCCCACTTCATAGCCTTATAACTGAAATTGCCCTGAGCTTGAGAACTTCAAACTCACCTGCCAGTAAGTTTGTAATAACTCGGATAAGTTGTTTTTAAAAAAAAAATGCGGAGGGACGGTTTAAGTTTGTTAATTTGTGGCGGTGACAAGAGGGAGTTTGATGGCACCACTATCAGATTTATTACAGCACAAATATGTATTAAATCCCACTTCATCAGAGGCTCTACACCAGTGGCTCTCGGTAAGGAGAAGCACACACGCCGTTGGAGGGATGGAAAGTTTTCCTAACAGTTACTAAGATTCAGTTCTTCCAAAAAAAAAAAAATCTCAATTTTTCTGGTGTGGGATGTATGTTGTGCCTCTGCAGCCACCATTCAAAACACCAGGAAAATGGCCTGCTGTTGCTGCACAATATCATGCCCAGGAAAAAAAAATCCCAGGCTTTACATAGCAAAAGGGCAGCCTGAACGGTGACCACACCAATGGCAGCAGTCAATATAGGCTACTCCTGTACAGGATGTGCTAACTGCAACATGCTCTGTGTGTACTTTGTGTAAAACTATCTCCCCACAAAAGGCAAGAGAGCCTTATCGGGTTATACTGCTGCAGTCTTGATTTCCTCTAGTGAGTTTAGAAAGATTTTGTAGAGATCCTTGGAATCTGAAAATAGTAGATATGATAATTACTAATGGTCAGATCCTTATACATCATGTTGTACACTTTGTATTTGTACAAGAACTGTGCAGCCTTGTACATGTTTAGTTGACAGCAAGCTCTGTGTTTACTCTTTAAGACCACAACTTATACAAGTGCAGGGAATCTTGATTGTTGAAACAAAGTACTGTAGTTAACTATCTCTTTAGCATTGCCAGGTGTTTTTGCTATCCACTGAATGTGTTCACAATATATTAACGTTTAAGTAGATAGCCTTCTTGTTGTTGTCCAGTATGGAAGTTGCCATTCCTTGTTAATAAGGAAAAGGAGAATTATTATTCTGATGCCTCCAATAATAGTTTTTTTAAAAATGTGGCTTATGTTCCTGATATGAATGAGTCACACTGGGAGTGTTATTTATTCCTTTCATTTCATTGCCTGCTAACGGAAATATAGCATAGAAGAGGACAACTTAGTCTCTAGCGGAAGGGAGTTCCAGAGTGTAGAAGGAGGTGCTGGAAAGACCTTGTTATATCCTTTCCAGGTGTGCCTGTGAGAGTGGTGGGACAGAGAGAAGGGCTGTCCCCAAGGACTGAAAAAGTTGGAGTGGCTCTTGTGGCGAGATGTGGTCCATCAAATAGTCTGGACACAGCTGTACAGGGCTTTACAGAATAACCAGCCAGAATGTTATAGATTCAACAGGAGCAGCTGAACCTTCTGTTCACATTTTGTGTGTAGTGATCTTTGAATGCAGCAAATTGGTTTCATTCCGCTCCCCCTAAACAAACACGAGAACTAACCCATTGGTTACTGTAGGTTTATCTCTCTAGTTTGTAAGAATACAACTAGATTGCCAAGTATAGCCATCGCTGCAAACAAATGGGCCCGTTCAGCTATGTTCAGCCATTTGTGTTTGCAGTGGGAATGATTCATCAATTTTGGCTTGGCAAGTCTTCAGGATTAAGGTGTGTTCTGTGCAAACGTGGTCACTGTTATTCCATATTTGTTTCTACCTTCTAATGTAAATCCAGTAAATCCCTGCTGAACCACTCAACTGAATATTGGAAGGCTAAACTTTAAGCTGCATGTACAATCTCTGTCCATACAGGTGTGCTGGTCTGCAGAAACTTTCTGAACATATTCAGCTCTCATCAGTATTTTCAGGTCTCCACAGGTATAAATACATTCATCACACATACTTAAAAACCCCTTTCTGATGAGGCTTGCATGCATGCCCTTGCATAGTTTAAGACACCTGAGTTCAGGCAAAGGGCTTGAAAGCATTATGCTGCAAAAATCTGATACTCAAGGCAGGGGGTTTTGCCTAGATTATTTTTCACTCATCATTTGTCACTTTTCAGCTATAGTTAGGCTGCGATGACACCGGCAAGCCAAATCACTCTGATTTGACTTTGCTACAGTTTGATTCGCAGCGTGTATTATGGTTAAATTCAAAGTCATTGATCACACAAGGGCTGCAGATTGATTTGGGAGTTTAGTGTTCACAGTTGATGTGATGCAATTCACATTTCATCCCACAAATCTTCCCTTTTTGTTCCTTTCTCTGGTCCTGTTTCTGCTGATCTTTTTATGGTTCGCTGTAAAGCTGTTTGGCTTTGAAAGGTGGTGCAGTATAGTGGTGCCTCGCTTTACGATTGCCCTGAATTATGACGATCTTTTTGTGATCGCAAAACAATGGTCTAAATGGGGGAATTTCATTTTGTGATGATCGGTTCCCTGCTTCGCGAACCGATTCTTCGCAAAACGATGATTTTTAAACAGCTGATCGGTGGTTTCAAAATGACTGCCAGGTAACTAAAATGGCTCCCCGCTGTGTTTAGGGATTGATTACTTGCTATACAGGTAGTGAAAATGGCTGCCGTATGGAGGATCTTCGCTGGACGGTGAGTTTTAAGTCCATTGGAACGCATTGAAAGGTTTTCAATGCATTTCAATGGGCTTTTTATTTTCGCTTTACGATGTTTTCGCTTAGTGGCAATTTTCCTGGAACAGATTATCGCCGTTAAGCGAGGCACCACTGTATTCCAAAAACAGTGGTAGCATTCAAAAGTTCTTCTTAACATCTACAGAAATACCACTGCTTATATACCACCCTATAGTGCTTAAAGTGCTCTCTTGGTTGTTTACAATTTAATTATGCAAGGTACATGTTGCCGCCCCCTCCAGCAAGCTGGGCACTCAATTTGCTGACCTTGGAAGGATGGAAGGCTGAACCCATCTTGAGCCAACCACCTGAATCCTTTAGTATTGAACTCAGGTTGTGCACAGAGTCTGACTGACTGCAGTACTGGAGTTTAACCACTGTACGACAAGATGTGGGAACAGTTTTATTTTGTCTGGGTTGTTTCCATTTTCTTCATAATTAAAAAGAAATCTTACCCAGAGGTGATCTAGCACCGAACTGGTTTATCAATACAGTACTGGTGATATGATGATCTAGTGCTAATTTCATAATTGTAAAAAAAAAAATAAAAATAAAAAATTAAAGGATGATCAAGGGGAAATGTGGTGTTCCTGTGGTCCCGAACATCATGCCCCAACTGCCTACATCACTGAAATACCACCCATACACATGCTTCCCCTTTAAAAGAGTCAATCAACTGTTGATGTGGGGGGAAAATCCATTTGAATTGTCCAGCTTGGAAAATAAAGTAGAAACTTTAAGTAGCAGAGAAAAAAAAGCTGTTTTGGGAGCAAAAAGGGCCAGACCTATTCAGATTGGCCTTTGCATTGGTCAGTAAAATAATAATAATCCTAATTCATCTATTTTATAAGCAGAGCAAGTCCTATGGTATTTGACCATGTGGTCACAACCTTATTCTGGTGTTGAATGCAGTTCCCACCATTTCCAGCGAGTATGATGGGAGTTCTAATCCAGCGCATCTGGAGAAAACAAATACCCATGTTGAAAGCATATACAACACTGTAATTCTCCTGCCTGCTTTCATCCAAGAGTATAAGTAGAAGTACAACACAGTGACAGCAAACTAAATAAAAGCAGGTGCTAAACTGCACATTGAAATTAAAGATAGCTTCCAGCTATTTCTAACTCTGTTGTGCATGAATAATAAAATAATATGCCTCTTTGCTATTGTGCCTTTGGTAATTGTTAGATTTTATATTCTAAATGAGTTTATGGCTGAGTAGTGGGGAGAGTGCTTATTTTAATTATTTTAAGCTAACTCTGGTATGAAGTACTTCAAATTCCCAAATGAGTTTTTTTGTGTATATAACTAGCAGCAGTTGTGGGAGCTTCTGTCAACCATCTTGTGAACGGTCTGCACACCAAGTTGTACTAGTGAACTTTCTTTATTTGGTACAGTGGACCCTTGACTTACAAACTTTTTGAGTTACAGACTTCTCTGGCCGCAAAATTTAGGTTTGACTTGCAGCCTGAGAATTGACTTACAGACCAGAAAAAAACCAAAATGGAACAAAAACGGCCTGTTACGGGATTAATCGGTTTTCAGTGCACTGTAGCTCAATGGAGACTTGACCTACAGACTTTTTGACCTGCAGCCACCGTTCCAATACGGATTAATTCCGTAAGTCAAGGGTCCACTGTATCACCCAGCCAAGATAAAAATTGCTACAGTAATGGCCTTATTGGCTTATGAAATAGAAGGTGTGAGTTTGTGTTTGTAAGTACGTAGCCCCCTTTCCATCTCATTTGTTTTTGTGGAGGACTGGATACACATCTGCCACACAGCATTGTAGAGGTTTTGAGAGAAGGATCACTCTTCTTGGGTGCATACTTGGTTGACATGGAATATTGAACAGGTCTTTCAGTGCAGAATATACCTGATGCTTTTACTGTAACATATTACTGGACAAAGAGGAGTATAGGGAAGTACTGCAAGCTGTATGACACTATGACAAAACACTTGACTTAACATTATGGATGTTCTCCCCTGAGGGATCCTGAAACTGTGAGAAGTCAGATTTATATGGAACACAACTGAGAAACCCAGTGGATTAAGTAGTAGCTTACTCTGTTTCTTCAGTGGTCTCCTTTACTTGAAAAAGCTTCCAATTTCAATGTCAGGGTGTTTCCAGAAGGGTCTGGGAAAGATCCCTGCCCAAAGCCTGTGAGAGCTTCTGTCAGTCAGTGATAGAGAAAATGGAGGAACAATGCTATGACTTTGTATCAGAATCTGGAAAAGTTACTTTTTTGAATGATGACAAATAATTTGAAAAGTCAATTTCCCAAGTTCTGGTCTGTAGACGTCAGTCCAGGGTGGCAATTAAGAACAGACGTGTGTGTATACGAACATAAATATATCTGATATATAAATTCTATGACCAAATTGGGTCATAGACATAGTCAAAACTTGTTAGGTATTCTCTTCAACCATCTGTCTCTTCTTGTTTGGTTGGTTTTTTTAGAAAAGGATGGAGGTAACTTTGAATGGGCCAGTAATTCCCAGGCTGTCCTTTGTTTCTGCTGTTGAGCTGTCCCCAAGAACTGGTCCTGTGGATGCTAGTGACATTAGGAAAAATCTCTATGGTGACTTCTCTTCAATCTCTGATACAAGCCAGGTAAGAAGGCAAAGTACCTGAGACCACATTTAGAGTCACATAATGATTCTCTTGTGAGGAGGTAGAGGATGTGTTTATTTGGTTTGTCATAAGCCTTTTAATGTCCTTTGAATGCATCTCTGTGTGCCAACTCTTGCATATCGACTTAAACGTTTTAATGTATGAGTCATACCTTGGCAGCCCTTTTAGGCTTCTCAGAACTTTTAACCTGTATTTGTTGTACAGGATAGCTTAACAGTTTCATTTTTAAAAAAATCAGTGTGATGTATTGTACTTGTGGAAATGACCCCCTACTCAACACTGAGGTGGGAATGAAGGTTTGGGATGCTTACTTTCTCATGGAACTGAACCACTTCACACCCAGTTTCTATGAGGGTAGAATAATATTACAGTGGCCAAGGACTGGACAAAAATTTCTGAATGGAATGAAGGCTCAGTGACAAAGAATGAAGAGCTAAAGAAGAATCAGCTGGAGAGGTAAAATAGGTAAAGTTTTAGGAAGAGGGTGAAGGAGACGAGATCTGAGCTGCAAAGGCAGTCAATGGAAATGGGATTCCACAGAAATTTTATTATGTTAAAGAGAAGAGGGTGTTGGAATGGCAAAGTGCAGCCCTCTATATGTATTTGCTGTCAATTCCCAGCAGTCCTGGCCAGTGTACCATAGCTGATGGTGAAAAGCACTGGAAGATTGTATTCCAGCAACATCTGGAGGGCTGCACTTGATCCACTCCTGGTGTTGGAGGTGAGAGAGTAATACTGGGAATGCTTCTCAAGTGAATGCTTAAAAAAGGGATGCTAGCAATGAGAAGGCTAAAGAAAGTGATTTCTAGGTTTAGAAGCCACGGGAATTGAGGGCCTGACAACAGTGGGTACTTGAGGTGGCCTGAATTCCACAGTGAAAGCAGTATAACCAGCCAATATTTTTGACAGCAGATTTTGAGCACAATTTGAGCAAGAGGAAGTTCTCAACAGGCTATTTCTTTGCCATAACATGGGCTGTCACAACTCCTAAAGAGCTGGGTCCAAAATTTTTGGAGTTCCATGTGGCAGTTTCCTCTCCTCTTCACAAAAAAAGCTAAAGGCAGAATACCTTGAGAATGGCCAATGTGTCAGTGGAAGAGGTTGCTTGTCATTGCCATAATAAGTGGCTGTGAGTTGTCTCTCTGTGTGTGTGTGTGAGGAGAAGGCTGAGAGAAATTTCTTGACTGGGAAAACAATATCTTTGAACTTCAGAAATACATAACTCATGCCATATGAAAACAGCAACGTGTACAGCAACTGTTAGATTTCTTTTGCTTGCTTTGTTTCTTTAGAGAGAGAGCTTGGAATCCAAAGAACGTATTCATGTCTGCCTTCGCATCAGACCGTTTATGCCATTGGAAAAAGAGAGCGATTCTCAGGTTTGATTTAACAAAAAATACTGTATATTTAAAAGCAAAGCTTCATCAGATCTGCTTGGTTAAGAAATATATTTTTTTCTTTAAAACTACTTGTTTTAAAAAACTTTTTTACAGGACTGTATTTCTGTTCTTGATCCAACAAGTGTTATATTAAAAGCTCCCAAGAGTTCCAATGTTTTTCGGCTCAGTGAAAAAAACTTAGGACAATTGGTGCAGAAATTCACTTTTTCACAGGTAGGATAGTTTTATAAGTCTACTGTCTTTATAAAATCTCATAAACTGAAAATTTTGCTTAAACACTTTTCATTATTCACACATAAACGTGAAAGCTTAAGGAAATAAAAGTTTCAGATTATGTCCACAAGATCTATGCTAAAAGTTTTAAAACTTTTATTATTAATTTGTTAGGTATTTGGTCCTGAAACAACACAAGAAGAACTCTTTGATGGTGCTGTAAAGCAGCCAGTGCTAGACTTCCTGAAGGGGCATAGTCACCTAATATTCACTTATGGAGTTACAAATGCTGGAAAAACCTACACATACCAAGGTATAGCTCAGCTTCCACACTGGACTGTGTTTGCTTGATTTAAAGAAAAGTCCCAAGGATATTCAAGGTCGGACTGGATTTCCTTGGTACTCTCTCATGGGAGTCTTACTAGTGAGGATGATCAAAGATGGTGCTCTATGCATGCTTATCTGGGAATAAGCTCCATTGAATATTTGCTCAAGATCTCTCTCTCTCTCTCTCTGTCTTTCTTTTTTTTTCTTTTGCTCTGAAGGTGTATTCAAAGTCCTGATAAATTTAATTTGTTTTCATGGCAGGCACTGAAGAAGCCAGTGGCATTCTCCCAAGATCTCTGGATTTGTTGTTCAATCACCTTTCAGGCAAACTGTATCCAGGGATGGACCTGAAACCCCACCGGTGTCGAGAGCACAGAAGGTTGAGTAAAGAAGAAGTGAGAGAAGAAACATCTGTCAAAAACTCACTGCTTCGTCTCATGAAAGAGGTGCGCTGATTTCTCTTAAGACTTCTGGACTGTTTCTGTTCCCAAAGGAGCATATGTGTGTGTTCAAAGACATGGAATTTGAGGGAGGGAATTATTGTTTCCAAGCCCAGTGCAAAAGTGTGTGTGTGGGTTTCTCTTCACTTCTATTTTGTTTAACCCACTAAATCCCCATAGACACCAATGGAAGGCAAACCACTCCATCATCTCCGAAGCTAGCATAATTTTTATTCCATTTAGGAGAAACAATGAGGCCTTAAGGCCTTGACCCCTGGAATGTTCCCTATTCCTGCCTCTCCAGTGAAAGTGCATCCATGCCAGTGGTTCCCAAAAGTTTTGATGACATGTTCTTTTCGATTTCCAAAAAAATCACCTCCTGATGTCTTATTTACCATCAACACATCCCTTATTATAAAAAAATATCAGTTTGTAAAATAGAGTTGAATATAAATGTACCAGGTTTTTCTAAAGAAAAAAAAATAAAATGCAAATAGCTTGTTCTGAGAAATCGACATCTCATAACAGTATCCCAGGAATTTGTTTAAGCTGATTCATTTTTTTATAACAAATATTTCATTCTTGTGGCTTCTGGGGAAGCATAGTCACTCACACACTGGTTTGAGAACCTGTGTAATGTGGTAACAGAGCTTTTTGCTAACCAACAGAGAAATCTTCTGTTGGCATAAATATTCCCCCTGTGTTTCTGTAACTTCCTACAGTCCATCACAGGCTAGTTAGCATGGATTCAGTTTTATCTTATCTATTATAAGATCCTTTCAAAAAATAGACAAGTACTACACTTGCTGTATCGGAGTAAAATGTGTGATATACCATATATTTCCATTTATAAGACGACCCCCTCTTTTCTAACCCCAAATTTGAAAATTTGATCGCTGCTTTTCCCTTCCTTTTGCTAAGCCACGGGGCTTAGCAAAAGGAAGGGAAAAGCAAGGATTAAAGGGCTGTAGAATCACTGAGCCCGCAACTGGCGGTGGAGGCAGCAGCAGGAGGAGGCGGAGACTGAGACAAAGAAGCAGCCAGGCTTGACTGCCTCCAACTGCTGCCCGTTGAGTGCTGCCACCGCCGTCCAATCACAAGGAGACAATCGCTGGAGGGGGCAATTGGGCAGTGGCAGCAGCAACAAGAGGCGACTGAGCCCAGCTGCTTCTTTGCCTCAGTCTCCGCCTCCTGCTGCTGCCCTCCATCTATAAAGCAACTCTTAATTTTTTCCTCTAATTATTTTAGGGGAAAGTGTCATTTTATACATGGAAAAAATGTTATTTAGTAACCATTTTCTTTTTCTTAATGTCTGTCTTATGTCTTGCCAATGGGAATTGTTACCTTTCAAAAGGTTCTTTGAGGTACTCCAGGAAGCAAGAGTTTAGGCAGTACAGTTCTGCAAAACACATTTTCTATACTCAGAGCAAACTGTCACAATGAAAAATCTTTGTCTTATAATGATTATAAGCTAGAAGGGGAAATTGTTCTGGGAACAAATGGTATAGAATAAATAAACTGGGTTTCCAAGTGTCATACAACCTGCTAGGCTTTTGTATGCATTTTTGCAGTAACTGTTTTAAAAATGTTCCTATTCAATTTTGCAAAATTTCAATTTTGCAGTATGAAGTTGCTTCTGTCACATTTTACTGTCTCCACTTTTCAATGCCTAATCATACCTCAATGTATAGAAATAAATGCTTATAAATACAGTAAATAAAAGTATGTATCACAACAAAGTGAAAAGAGATCTAAAATAAGATACAGTAGTAGTAATTAGCCGTGTTGAAGTCATAAATGATAACCAGTGAACTAAAGCAGAGTAGTGTTTATCACTAATTGGTATGGGATACAAGTTTAATAAATGAATGACTAGATAAATAAATATTCATAAGAACACTACTGGATAAGTGAAGGCCTATGTAGGGGAAAGCCTACTAACAGGATATATACAGCACCCTCCTGCTTGTGGGAATCTTTTTTTAAAACCTGGTTTGTGAATCAGGAGTGGTCAGCTGTGATCCCCAGATGTTCTGGCTTACAATCCCCTCTGGCCTTAGTCAGCACAACCAATAATGATGAGGGCCATAGGATTCGCAACTCAGAAACCTCTGGAAGGTCTCTGTTTTTTCCTTAAAGGTGGGTGAATTTTGGAAAGCTGAGCTAATGCTGCTATCTTGCTAGAGATGTAAAATTTCAGTTTTTCCAGGAAAAAAACTTTTCCCCATTTTTTTCTGGAAAAAAATGGAAATTTTCCATCTCTATCCCTTGCTGTGAGCTTTTCCCTACTATTGCTGCTTTCTTTCTACACCCTTGTTCTACTTGTTTTGAAATATTTCAGAATTTGCAGATAAATGTAGTGACCCCCCCCAAAAAAAAAGCAGATTGTGTGACAAGCCGAGACATGATGAGGAAAACGTTGAGGGTGGAGGAAAGGCCAAGCAAAGCAAGAAATGCCTCTGGGTACATAATTCGAAACAAATACAAGGATGTGGTTTGCTTCCAATAAAGCCCAAGCTCTTGTGAATGTATATTGTGCTGTTCAATGTATACAGTGAGCTTTCATGGCGCGCAAGAGAGACCCTGGTTTTCTAGCAGATTATAAAATCTGTAAAATTCACACCAGAGCTTCCTTTGGATGATTGCAGTACTACAAGCTCTGGGCTGGAATATCCTGGAGATAAAAATGCTCATCTACTTGCTTATTAAATTATTTTAAGAGTACCTAGAAAATTGCTTTGTCAGTGGCAGAAAGTGGATTCTAGCCACTGAAAGCTCATTTGTCAAGTTTTAAAATGCTGTAGAGTTCTATTACTAACTTAGTTCCTCTAAAACATGCTACAGCTACCCTAGAACATAGTTTGTACGGTACAGTAGTAGTCTTCCCTGAGTGAATCATACTTTCCTAATGTTTAGTACAAAGGATGATAAAGAGAATTTCTCCGAAAATGTGTAATACACCAGACAGTTAAAGTTATCTTTTTATGTCTTAAATTTCAGACAGATTACCAAACTAGCATCCATGGTAATTATAGCAAAACAACCGATAAATCTGAAGGTGAGTTAAATATCTGAAAGACAAAGATGCACGCATTCTTTCTGAATGATTATCTAAATGGCCTGGTGGTGGGCACTTTACTCCCTGCAAACACGCTGCAGGCTCCAATCAAACTGGAATTGTTTTTTCAAAATCATTTTTTTAAAAAAACTTGATGTTAAATTCTGTTTAAAAAGCACACATATGGCAAATCTCAATTTCCCTGAAGCAAGGTTCCATTTCTTGCTTAGAAGAAAATCACTATTCCTGGAGTATTTTAAGGACTGTCATTCTGATCCGAAGGAAGTTTTCCCCCCTGGGTGAATAGAAAGTATTTGGGCAACAAAAAGCAAGTGGGGAATATGCAAGTGGGTCTGATGTTGCCCAGTCCTGTTTTAACAAGTAGTGTTTGACAGTGGTCTTCCTTTTGTATCTCAATGTTTCATTTTTTTCCACCTTGGAACTTTCACTGCAAAAAAAAAGTTGTCCAACAATATTGTTTGATATCACATTTCCCTGTCCCCCTGCAAAAAAGGAAGAAAGAAAAAGCGAGAGAATTCTTTCAGCCAAATGTTTATGCAATCTTCATGTTCTTCCAGATTTGACAGAACCAGTAAATGAAGCTGAACAATCTTACTCAGATGAGAAGAAAGGAGTAAAATTCTCAGTCTGGGTTTCATTTTGTGAAATTTACAATGAGTGCATTTATGACCTGCTGCTTCCATTTTCTGCTGACAAGAAAAGAAAGATGTTGCGCCTTGCCCAGGACGTAAATGGTTGTTCATATGTTAAAGGTATAAAAAAATCATTAGTGACAACCACATTTTCAGTGGCCTTAAAATTGGAGCTTGGAAAATTACTCTAAAAAGGAATCAATTCTGTAATTCATCACACTATCACCCTCTCCTTTCATTAATGTTACCAGTGGTGGGGTTAAGTAACTCACTGAATTGCTTGTTACTTTTTTTTGGTGGAAAAAAGCCTAAAGATTGTTAGATAATAACAAAAAACCATTGAAGTTGCTCAAGACACTTCTAAAATGCATGGGCAAATTACCTAAAATGCATGTGTGACTTCTCTCACATACCCAGCCTGTTCCCATTTATATTACTTTTGAAAGGCAACTTTCTTATACAGTGGTGCCTCGCTTAGCGATTGCTTCGTTTAACGATGTATTCGCTTTGCGATGGGTTTCTTTGAGGAATTTTCAGCATCATTTAACGATGTTCTCTATAGGGGAATTTCACTTAACGATGTCCGTGTTTGCTCATTTTTAAGTGTCTTACAATGTTTGGAACATGTTTTAAATGGTTGGAATAGTTAGTCTACCTTGTGAAACCGATGCACACTTAGTTTGGCTTTCTTCTGAGTCTTCATTAATTTTTGGTGATTTTTTGTTTTTTCCCTCATTGAAATCCATTGGACTCCAATGGATTTCAATGAGGGGAAAAAACAAAAAATCACCAAAAATTAACGAAGACTCAGAAGAAAGCCAAACTAAGTGTGCTTAGGTTTCTCAAGGTGGACTAACTATTCCAACCATTTAAAACATGTTCCAAACATTGTAAGACACTTAAAAATGAGCAAACACGGACATCGGAAAGCCATTCAAAAGCACTGAAGCCGGCTTCAGTGCTTTTGAATGGCTTTCCGTTGGGGAAACATTGTTTCACTTAGCGATGTTTCCTATGGGGATTTTCACTTAAGGACGTTAATCCGTTCCCATTGGAACGGATTAACCAGTTTTCAATGCATTCCTATGGGAAATGGTGTTTCACTTAACGATGTTTCCCATAGCGATGGGGTTTTTGGAACCAATTAACATAGTTAAGCGAGGCACCACTGTACTATCATTACTTAAAAGTAACAGCAGAGTAACGTGTTCTAAGGAACTAGTTTTCCTATATTTTATTAATTCTGAGCTTTGCTCAAATGGCTTTCTTATTTAATATGAAGTAGCGTCTTTTTAACAAATCTAATTCCTCTTTAGAATGTGGAGGAAAGCCATTTTTTTTACATTTTTAATAGCATAATTACCGTAAGCATGGCTTGGACATATACATTGTCTCTCGCCCTCTTTGGATGGTTACAAAAACAAAAGGAATTATTTCTTGTCTCCAACACCATGTTCCCCCTTTACGTATTCCCTTTTTAATAGAGTTGTTACACCTCATCACAAATAATTGCTGGCATGAAAAAGAATAACAAATGGTGTGTGAGAAACTTTCTTATAATCTCAGCGGACATCTAAACTAGTACAGGATATGTACAGATTCAACAATAAACACTGTAAATGTTAGAGTCTAAATCCAACTTAATTATCTATATGCATTAATTTTTCAAATATGTGCTTATGAACTGTTTTATGTGCAGTGTTTAATGGACTAACCTTGATTTTTCTTAAAGATTTACAGTGGATTCAAGTTTCAAATTCTAAAGAAGCTTTTAAACTCATGAGACTTGGCCTGAAGCATCAGAGTTCTGCTTCGACAAAACTAAATGCCAACTCTAGCCGAAGGTAAAGGCAACAACATTCAGTGTGGAACAGCCTAATGGTTTGTTGTCTTTTTTAAATTGAGAAAGCTTGTGCAATCCAGACTTTGTTCTTTGTTCATCTGTTTCTAAAAGTAACTGCTTTAATTTTCTCCTCTTTTCAACTTACTCTACTATATTTCTGGATGTGGATATGTTAATGAATAAAATTAATAACTAATAGATGAAAAGTAAAATTTCATGCAGATGGAGTAACTGCATTTTTACAATGCATCAAACTATGGTGAAATGTGAATCAGCCTAGTGTTCCCAACTTTGTGCATTCTACTTTTGATTAATGGCAGTTTGCTGTGTCACCTACCAGCAAACCATGACTAAGTTTTAAAATGGTTACCATCAAAACAATTTTAAAGCATAATTAATAGAAGCTTGTTCAGAAAAACTATGGTTAACTGTAGTTTCATATCTTGATGACACTGTAATATGCGCTTAATCAAAAGTCAAAACTTATTCATTTCACAGGAGAGGGAGGAAGAACGGTTTAGTTTAGGGAAAGCTACACTCATTCACATTGCACTGAATAGTAATACAGAATGGCAGACGAGACTAGCCAGTGTGATTTTCAATGTTAAAGATACTTCTCTAGAACACAGCAGTGAAGAAATCTGTACTGTGCTAAAAATCCAGGTACTACAGAAGTATCTGTGTGGTTATACATTAGCTGCATTCACAAGTCATGCTGAGCCATAACTACGGTTTATTGCTTAAACTAGTTTATTTTTTTCCATTTTTGGTCTGTTTATCTCCTGTCCTTTTTCCAGGTGGGTAGCAGGGAAACAAACTTAGGGACAATTTTAGGTTAAGACATTCCAAGCCAGACTGTTAATCCAATAACAAACTTTGGGGTCTAATTATTGTTTGTATCTGACCAGCGAACCATAGCCTAAATCAAATTGGTGGCCTAATTAGGATTGACCCATTGAATCAGCTGCTGAATTGTGAGTTAGTTCTTATGTAAATCCCATGGATTTGTGGATCTGTTGCTATGCCCCCTTGGATCCAAACCTATGGTTGATTTCTCAGGATAGGTTCAGACAAAACAGTACACCAGAATTCAGGAAAATACAAAATGACAAACGTGAGCTCAGTAAGTGCAAATACACCTTAAAAATGATGATTATTTAGTAGAACCAAACAAGACTTAGAAACTATTAGAAGTATGCCCAGACTGGAAGCATAAGTAGCTTAACATGATTTAAGGTAATTACAGTGGTTTTTACTAATGTTTGAAGCTAACACTGCTCGAAATGACTTAATTTTGTTTTACCTTTCAGTCATAGCATATTTAATGTGAAAATGCTAAAAATCGATTCTGAAGTATCTCGAGTGATGCGGGTCAATGAGTAAGTGATCTTTCCACTAAAATATTGCATACCTCATATGGGGCAACTTGCACTTTCTATTCAATACACGTGCCCTTTTTTGTCTACCTCCAGATTATTCCTCTGTGATCTTGCTGGCTCAGAGCGTTGTACCAGAACCCACAATGAAGGAGACAGATTAAAAGAGAGCGGGAACATTAACACTTCCTTACTAATTCTAGGCAAATGCATCAATGCCCTGAAGACCAGCCAGCAATCAAAGTAGGTCTAGGTAGCATCTTTAGCTTCAAATTCAGGGAAGCTAACAATTGGTCCCTTCTATAAAGAAAATGGTATTCTAAGGAGATGGGGCAGGGACTGATCTGCATATATTTCTGGTGCAAAATACAGTGGTGCCCTGCATAGCGACGTTAATCCGTTCCAGGATTAACGTTGCTAGCCGGATTCTTCGCTATGCAGGGGGGGGGGAACCCATAGGAACCCATTAAACTCTGTTTAATGCGTTCCTATTGGGGAAAAACTCACTGGTAAGCGAAGAATCCCCCATCCGGCCGCCATTTTCGCCGCCTCGGTAAGTGAGGGCAGGGCGCGAAAACGCTGCAGGCAGCCATTTCCTCCCAGCTGGGCGGTGCTGGCTTCAGAGCGGCCGTCGGGGAAGCCTCCACCGCGGTTGCGCCGAAGCCTTTTCTCCCCAGCTGGGCGGCGCTGGCTTTGGAGCGGCCGCTGGGGAAGCCTCCACCGCGGTCGCTCCGAAGCGCCCGCTGGGCCGGTGGGGGGCAATGGGGCCTATGGGGGAACATCGCAATGCGATCACTTTTGCGATTGCAAAATCCGCATCGCTATGCGGATTCGTCGTTAAACGGGGCGCTCGTTATATGAGGCACCACTGTACTGCTTCTTTAAAATGATAACTTTGCTATTAGAGAGAGCTCTTTATGTGAAATGTTTCAAAGAGGTGGTCTTCCTTTTGTTGTTTTGCCTTTGGTAATGAACCAGAGTGTTTAGAAACTTGCCCCTTTCACCTCACAATGCCTGTGGAGTACAAATTGTAGCCAGAGCTCAGAAACATTATTTCTGGAGGGCTATAACTCCCTTTCTCTGGAAGCAAAAATGACAAGACTGAGGCTGTCATACTTTGGGCACATCATGAGAAAGCAAGACTTGCTGGAAAAGACCACAATGGTGGGAAAAATTGAAGGCAGCAGAGGGGAGGACCCAGTATGCGATGGATTGACACCATCAAGGAAGACACAGCCTTCAGCTTACAAGAGCTGGTCGGTGCTGTTGAGGACAGGACATTTTTGGAGTTTCCTCATTCATAAGGTTGCCATAAGTTGAAAGCAATTTCGCAGCGTATGATAACAAAAAGTAACTCCTGGAATTCCTCGGCCAACATTGCTGCTAGCTATTCTGGCTGGGGAATTCTGAGAGTTACCATTTATAAAAAGGAACTTTCCAACTTTTAGTCGTAACAAAGGGGAAGAGAGAGATACGTGGGTGTGCATGCACGTGTATATGTGTGAGAGAATGGTGAAGCAAAGTAGACAAGTCTGTTTCCAGAGACTGGATTGTTAGGAGGAGGCTAGCTCCCATTTGAGCACCCACAGCAAGCACTTGCTAGTGACAGTGTCTCTGGTTTGCCAAGGGTACAGTAACTGATGCAATGCCTGTTTTTTTCTAGACTGCAGCAGCACATACCCTTTCGTGAAAGTAAGCTAACTCACTATTTTCAAGGCTTCTTCAGTGGTAAAGGGAAAGTGTGCATGATAGTTAATGTCAGCCAGAGTGCAGCTGCGTATGATGAAACACTCAACGTGCTCAAGTTTTCAGCAATTGCTCAAAAAGTAAGTGTGCTTGAATTGTTAGTAGCTAGAATTAAATGGCTGCAGAGAAGCGACTGGATCACAAAAATGGACTGGCAAATGGCTAAAGGCTGGGTAGTTAACTCCTCAGATACCAACTAGTGGTACTGCAAGGAATTTAGTTGGGAGTCTGAAGTCTCCTTGGATGTGCAGTGTGAACCTATGTGTGTGTTTTTTGGAAGTTAATCCCATGAAGGTCCAGTAGTTGTGATGTAGAAATGAGTACTTATATAATTATAGCTTTGGGCTGGGATCCTGCTGAGCTCTGTGGAGCATAATGCTCCACTAGCATAGTAAGGTAGGATCTTATGCGTGTATGTGCAATGCTAATGCAGAAGGCTCCTGTTATAGATGCTGAATGCATCCTTGAAGGGAGGGGATCCAGAGTTGGATACTCATGTTGTGTCTGTTGCTGAGTGATTTAACTAATTAGGACTCCAGCCCTTGTTTTGGAATATTAATTATACAGTCCATGATTAGTTACCTGTTTTGGTTTAAATCATGAACTGCTTTAGATTTACTTAACTTTTATCCTTGATGTGTTGCATGTATTTGGGTAAACTGTTGTGTACTTCCTTTTATTCAGGAAATGAAGGGAGGGGAAGCTATTGCTCATAATAGGACTAAAGGAGAGAATTGGGGCAACGAAGATAAATTAGCTTGCTAGTTTGTAAGCATAGATGTGTAAAACCATCCTTGCCTGTTAGTCAAACAAATTAACTTTGTATCTAATGTAAACAACAAAGAGAACTACACCTTCCAATACGGATTAAGTTCTTAAGTAGAGACCCCACTGTATAACTTAAGTGTACTACTGCTATATGAACTGAACATTGAAGGCATGGTGTAAATACTGTATTAGAAAGAAAGAAACCTTTAAAATTAAACCAAATGTTTTTCTTATTTTAACTGTCCATGCTAACTTTTTTAAAAAAATACTGTCAATACACCTTACCTATAATATCAGTAATAATAATAATATTGATAATAATTTGGATGATACTAGCATTAATAAATTGTTCTATTTTGAGGAACATTGAACTCTGCTGCCTTTCCATGTGATTTTCCCCATTTTAGTTACAGAAAGAATGAATATATATTCATTCATTCATTCGTATGTATGTATGTATGTATGTATGTATGTATGTATGTATGTATGTATGTATGTATGTATGTATGTATGTATGTTCCTTCCATCAATTTATATACTGCCTATTTGGCCAAGGGCCACTGTGGGTGATTCACGACATAAATAACAATACACAAATTAAATCATAAAATACAATGCAGCTATATGAAAATACTATAATAAAGTCAAATCAGACAATTTAAAATCTAAAAATGCCTAGTTGTTGTTTATGATTTCCCAAGAAGAGGAAAAACTGCTAGTGGCATGGCTCATGGCATCCTTGATATTGAGAAACCTTCCAAATTACTTTTGGTAGAAAAGTCTTAAGAGCAACTAAAATAGTTGTAGTAAGTGTGGGATTTAAGAGAAAACGTATGTAGAACATTGTAGAGAATACTTAATTAAAAAAACATCAAGTTTAGTTACATTTGGCACTACTGTACATCTGGCATTGCATACAAGCAAGCAAACACTGGAATTATATTGCTGCTTATGCTTTAAGCTTAAACAGTGAAATGTTGCTGTAAAGGATGTATGAGCTGTTTCATCATGTTGATTTAAAGAACTAGGTAAATATGTTCAATTTCAGAAATTAAAAGAAGGTTGTCACTTTTTGTGTTGCGGATTTATTAATATTGCCTAACAGTGTAGTGTATATTTTCCATTAACAGAATTCCCATAGATTATATTCTTTCTTTTTAAAACCATGTAATTATGGTAGAAAAACAGCCCAGTTTCATAATACAGTATTGTGAGATAACTAGTATCTTAAACAGAATAAGCTCATTTGCAGCTATAAGATGCTCTTAGAGATTTTACAGGCATTATGCAGTTTTAAAATGGAACAGTAACACAACAAAATGACAAAGACTTAAATCTCAATACAAAAGCAACACAATGCAAATGCAACATCAAATCCATTATGATGAAAATACAGTATAAAATGTGGAGCTAAAACCCAAGAAATAAAGTGGGAATTAAACTCTCCAATACAAAAATAAATTATGTGACAAAGAAGTTAGGGAGCATGGCGATGAGCTGTGCTAGAAGGAAGTATGGATATTACAAAACATTTCTACATATATGTGGCGGGAACCTTTCTGTGAGAGTTTTTAGCAGGCTGGTCTGAAAGCAGCTAAAGTGGCTATGATAACTGTAGAATTTAGTATGTTTGTGACTTCTGTATTAAACAGGTCCTGGTCCTGGATTCTTCCAAATCTCTCCAAGGAGAGACATTGGACGAGATATCTGTGAAAGCAGAATCGGAAATGAGGGTAGAAGATTTGCCCATTAAAAGAGCGACTATACTTTGGGAGAGGACCTTGGAAGACGTAATGGAAGATGAAGAAGAGCTACTAAAAGAGGGTGTCAATGGAGATGAGGGCAACGGCATCATGGAAAACTTCTGCATGAAGGAAGGTGAGGGTGATATTGCTGAGGGGACGACAAGCCAGGTGGAAGAAGAAGAGAGCGACATCCTCATTGGAAAAGATGAGTATCAGGTATGTCTTGTGTTAGCGGGGAAGTGGATGTTCTAGAACAGGGATCTGTGGCCTGGTGCTGGTCCGTGGACACAGATCTCCGCCCTCCCCGCACGCCCACATGGTGGGCATGTCGTGCTTGCAGAGGGATGTGTCACGCTCATGAGCAGGGGTGCCCCTGCACCTCCCAACCGGTCCACGGTCCCAAAAAGGTTGGGGACCGCTGTTCTAGTATACAGTAGCAAATGGCCAAAGATTTGAAGTATCATTTGTGATCTACTTTGGTGTGATAAATCATACCTTTATTTATTTATTTATTTTATTTATTTTTGGACTTATATACCGCCCCATAGCGCTACAAGCATAATGAAAGAATGTGAGCAGGCATAAAATTGAAGCATATTACCACCCTGAACATAATCTGTCCAAGAAGGACTAAAAGGAATTCCCTCTTACTCCCTGGAGAGCTGCTCCTGCCAGTCAGAGTTGGCAGTACTAGGTTAGATGGACCAAAGGTCTGACTTAGTGGACAATCTAGTGCAGCAATGGCGAACCTATGGCACGTGTGCCACAGCTGGCACGCAGAGCCATAAGTTGATGGATCACTACTCTGGCAACCAAACCTGAGGAAGTGGCTGCAGATGCAGTGCTAGTGCCACGACAGGCAGCGGGCCAGGATCTGGAGCAGCTGGAGGTGGCAGACCGGCTGAGCTATAGGCAGTGGTGGGGATGGGCACGACTGGAGATGATTCCGGAGTGGGGTCTGGAGGCACCTCCATGCCCGGGATTCCCCCTTCCACTGCCACCGCCCGCTGTTTTAGGAACTCATTTGAGAAGGAAGGCCCAGGTATAATCTCCAGTGGGAGAAGACTCCATAGCTTGGGCAGAACAAAAACAGTCTTCCCTTCTCAACTGTATTTCTGTTGGTGAAAATACAAGGAGGTGAAGGATAGCATAACTGGCTGCCATCCTTATAGGCTTGAAGGTGGCAACAGTATGTCATGAGGAACAGTGAATAGTTCAGGGGATGAGAACCAGTGCAGTGTGATATGGGATGCCTGTACAACTGTGCACATGCAGGCCCCTTCTTCAGATGTCTAGTGATGGCAGAGGGCCAGGATGTGAAGATGCAAATGTTTTGCATTTAGTCTATGTGTGAATGGAACAACTAATGTGGGGTGGACTCAGGGAGCTAAGAAACTGTAGGTTGACCTGAGTTCCTTTAGAGAAAGAGTCAAAGTTCGAAGGGGAGATGCAGTGTGCAAAAATTGGTCTGTGCCCTGAATATATTATACACATATTGATAGTTGTACCTGATGCTTCTTTAATACCGCCAGTGCCTTGGCCTGCCTAGTCTTCATAGAACCCTGGGAAGCTGTTGCTTTTGAACAGCATGTGTACAAAATAGTTTGCAAACTTGTTGAACATGCTACAGCAACAAATGCCTAATAATGTTTTCCATGTACTGATTCTCCTCCCATTGTCTGTGCTCAGAGGTTGCTCGACATCATAGAAGATCTGAAGAACAAGCTGATTGATGAAAGGAAAGATAAGCTACGCATGGAGTTAAAAATCCGTGAAGAGGTTGCACAGGAATTTGCTCGATATTGTACTGAAAAAGAGAATGACTGCAAGTAAGTTCATTGTAACTCTGTTTATGAAATGATGTGGAATATGTCTGACTGTACAACAGTAGCATGCATCTACAAAAGCCAAAATTATACTCAGCGGAGAAGGGCAGGTTGGATGTGCGTACCAAAAATGGGCAATCGGTGGGCCTTAGATGCTTCGGTGTGAAGAGGTTTCTTTGCAGCCCAGCTGACAGGCCATGTGCTAGGAAACCATCTGGGAATGCTAATCTGCTTGTAAATGAGGTATATGGGGAACATGCTCTTTGTTTCAAAGGAAAGTCTCCTGATAAACTGGAGGTCTCTCTTTCCTGTCATTAACAGTGCAGACTTGGTAATCCATTTGGGCTCTAGCCTCCCCCTGCTTTTGATTCCATCCCCTTATTAGAGCAGGCAAAAACTTGACATTTAAACCATCTTTTATGAGAATGTTGAAATGAAGGGCTGCCTCCATACACACTAGGAATCTCCAGGACCACATGTCTCCAAACAGCTCGTTCATAGTGAATGGGTTCTGAATATGTAAATCTGAAAGCCTTTATTTATTCAAAATATTTTTACCCCACTTTTCCCTATTAAAAAAAATCCAAGGTGGCTTGCATCATTAAAAGACAATATTAAAGCTAACAACAGTGAGTATGCAAATACAAATACCATACTAAAAAACAAAAGCAACACCTACACATTTAAAGTAGTAAGGTAAAATGATCCTTTAAAAAACCCAGGCCACCAGTCACTCAGGGAAAGCTGACCTGAAGATAAAGGTCTTTGCTTGCTTGCAGGAGGACAGTAAAGTTCAGACCAGCTAGACCTTCCTGTGGGAGAGAGTTTCAAAGCCTGGGAGCAACAACAGAGAAGGCCCTTATCCATGCCCCCACCAAATACACACAGAAGAGAGAGTTGTTGCAAGTCATTTGAAGCTTCTCTTAGTTATTTTAAAGAAATCATAGAAAATGCAAATTCCTCATGTCATCAAAACTTGCCAGCTGAGACTTTAAGAATACAAATAGGACAACTGTAAAGACTTTTTTCCCCCAGAAAAATTCTAGACTTAGTTTCTTTTCCTTCTGTTGGTATGCTTAGAGCCTTTTTGAGCCATAATCAAGAAATAATGGAAGAGAACTGTGAGGAGCGCATGCAGATTTACAAGGATCTGATGAACTCTATGCTACTGATAAATGGCAAAGACAGTGCAAAAGAGCTAAAGACACACTCTGATAAGCAGGAGAAAGCACAGGTAGGTTTTATCCTGTCTTTAATCTCTCTAGGCTGTAATGCCTATCAACCTTAACCAAGATATCTGTCATTGAGGGATGATGGAAAGTTGCAGTCCAGCGACATATGGATGACCCAAAGGGTTCAGCGTGCTCAACTTAATGGGCTTTGAACATTAAATGGTGCCCAGAGTAAGGTATCACTACACCAGTGAGGCAGTGCTGTTTTCCACCTGAACGGTACCTGTGATGCTTACAGAATAAGAATTCTGAAGTCTTTCCAAGAGCCCTGTTTGGTTGAAAATACAGACCTCTCAGTAGCAGGTAATGTGTTTTCTTGACTGAGGGTGAGAATTGTGCAGCACACAGGGTGTTTCCCCCCCCCCAGCTTAAAAATGGCCAGCCACTTTGCATAGGCAACACAGATGGCCACTAAAGACTTATTCTTTCCAGTCCCCAAGCCTGTTTGGGGTTGAAAATGTGGGCCCCAAAATTGGAAATAAATACCCAGTTTTGGAAAAAAGAAAAAGGGAAGGTGTGTCCTACAAAGATCTGGAAGGGAGTGAGAGTCCATAAACAGTGGGAAAATGGGGAAGGTGCAACCAACTTTGACTGCTGCCCACACCTGGTTTAACCATTAAATACCTGGAGCTTTACGGGATCATGACTGCAAGCCAAGTTCAGCCTTTTAATTTCTGCTCTATCCTCCATCATGGCAAGCTAACAGGGATACAGGAGTGGAGTCAACCAGCCTAGCAGACTTCACATTGAACTTTTTCGTTCTTCTCTGCTCCTTCCCCTGCACAGAGCAGTGTTCTGACATGATACTGCCTTCTGGTAGATGAGGCTTTGCCTACAGATCTGCATGAACACCTTTTCCTTTCTGCCTTTTTTATTTTATGTGTCTTCCAACAAGGGAGGTGAATCCGGAGAACAGTCAGATGGCATGGATCTTTCTTGCATGGTAGAGTCGTTGCAACACAACATCACTGATATTAAACAGCAAGCAGAAATGGCATATGGGGCGATCGTTGCCTTGGAAGAACCCCAGACAACTATTGAGCGGCTTGAAAAACAATTGCATGAAGTTAGAGCCGAGTTATCCCAGGCTCAAGAGGAGCTGCTGTGCAAGAATACAGGTGGACATGTTGAGGGGGAAAATATGTTCGGTGGTGTCTGAAAAATGTACAGTCAGCCACATTTGCTAGAGCAGGAGGAGGTGGGGCTTTGAATTGGGCAATATTAGAAGATGGCAGGTGATGGGAGCAGCAGGAAAGCATGGCAGGACCTAGAAGACAAGTGTGTGGTGTCGGCAGGGATGCACATGTGACCCACAAGCCAAGATTTCCCTTTTCATACTGTAACTGCCTGTAGGATTCTGGAAGAGGGCACACTTTTGATTAGAATCTTGCATAGGAACTCTTCCTGGTGATAGGACGTGAGGATACAGGTCAGTGTCTTGTAGGTCTGTCTTGAGTGTGGTTTTGTTTGTTTGTTTTAACAATACAGGCTTCTTTCTATCCGATAAAGAAAATACATTTTCCAAGGACCGAGATACAACTAGCTTTGCAGATATTAGCCTCTTCTCCACTGGAAATGACATACATGATAGACTCCTCTTGGTTAATTAATACAGTGGTGCCTCGCATTACGATGTTAATTCGTTCCAGCGAAATCGCTGTAGAACAAAAAGATCGTAAAGCAAAATTTAAAAGCCCGTAGAAACACATTAAAACCTGTGTAATGCGTTCCTATGGGCTTGAAACTCACTGTCCAGCGAAGATCCTCCATAGCGCGGCCATTTTCACTGCCCGTGCAGCGAGGAATCCGTCCCAGAAAACACCGGGGGGCCATTTTGTTTACCCGGCGGCCATTTTGAAACCACCAATCAGCTGTTTAAAAATCGTCGTTTTGCGAGAATCGGTTCCCGAAGCAGGGAACCAATCATCGCAAAGCGAAAAACCCCATTCAGACCATCGTTTTGCGATCGCAAAAAGATTGCCGTAATGCAGTTTCGTCGTTAAACAGGGTGCCTGTCTTGTGAGGCACCACTGTACCAATATAAGTGCAGGGGCATAAATCACAGTGTCATATTGCTGCTAGTTATTGTTGCTCCTTGTATCTATCGTTTTCTCCCAGCTTCAGTGACTAGCCCACAGAGGGAGATATAAGCTACAACTCATTAACCGGCAGCAAATTCACCACTGCAGGTTATGCCATTGCACTTATGTTGATGTTAATTAACTGACAGCATTCTGGCCAATGACTATGTTGGAGGTGTCACAAGGCATAAGAAGCCAAGGGACCTGGCTTATGAACAGCTACTGTGCTGGTACAGCCCTGCTCAGCTGCCTTTGCTTGCATGGGACTTCATTTTTCAGTTGATTTATTGTGTCATTGGAGAGTGGGCAGTTTTTCTCCTGTGGTACATGTTCATTCCCAACAAATGACAGGGACATTTTGAGGTTCTGTTCTCTGACTTCTTTCCCTGGTGTGTTTGGATGGTGTAAACCTGAGAAGGGGAGCTGCTTGCTTTCACACGACATGATAAACAAAGCATGGAGTTTTACTTCAAGATCTCACTAGACACTTTTGCTGGATATGAGAGCAACCTGGCAACGTGCACAAGATTACTGCTCATTTGTGGTGTGCCAGAGTTCCCTGAAATTGCTCGCTTGTCATGTCATATGAATGCAGGCACCATCTGCTTTTTTTTTTTAGAGGAAAATGTGCTATTGTGGCATTGCAGTTTTAAACAAAGAGTAAAAAGAGAGGGAATATGTGGAATTCATTGTTAAACGAATCTGAGCAATTATTTCCATGGCATATGAGTAATATTGAAACTTGTGTTACAGTGGTGACGGTGCAAGAGAATAAACTGAATGAATCTACTCAGGTTCTTCAAGATGCCACTGAGGTAGATGGGTTTTTGATATCTCTACTGCCCTGTACTTTGCTTGTGTCAGGTTTGGACAATCTTTCCATGGTTTATAAAGCAAGGAAAGATCACTCAAACCCAACCTGTATTTTCCTTTTCATAGTCTGAGTTTAGAAATTGTCACATTTCTTGTACATTATCATGCCTAATCGTAACTTCCTGTCACCGTTGTTGTTGAAGAAAATGGCTCTACAGAACAAACGCATACAGGAGTTAAGTCAAGCTGTGGAGGAAAAGGATAGTGAAATTAGTAGGCTGCTCATTCTGCTGAATCGCTTGGAAGCTGTCACAAAAGACTCTGTAAGTGTTCAGTTGTTCACTTCTTAATCTCAAAAGTAGCAGTTATACATTAACATAATACAATGCCCAACTAATGTCCTGTCATAGGAAGTTGGAAAACTTTGCATTATATCTCCTTTTATTTGTGCTTACATTACGGGAAAGGAACCTGGAGAGGTATGTAGCATTCTTATTTGCAATCAGTCAAACTAGTGATAAAAGAACTGAAATGTTAGTGGCATCTGAGGAAAACAGTTACTGAATTACTTGCAGAGATGCAGAACATAAACATCCCCACACTCAGATTTTCTTGGCCAAGAGAGTTGTTGGCAGCTGTCATAAAGAGAAAAGAACTGAGTCAAATAAATGAGATTACTAAAGCAAGTAATCTCTGTGAAATGAAAACAGTGTCACGGTGTGGTGGGGGAAGTGCATAATTTCAACAATATTTTTTAAAAGTTAATTTCAATTTAGCTTTATCCTTGCACTGGCAGAAGATTTAAAGCAGAAATTATAGTTGATGTAAAATTTTAATACCTTTGCTTTCCATAGAATTATCTTCCTTTACTTTTTTATAGGAGAACACAATTGCCGCTATTAAGCATGAAAAGGAACAGGAAGATCTGAACAAAACAGGCTGTGCCCATTTTAGTGAGTCCATGGAGAAATATGTGGGTAATAGACGAAAACGATGTGTAGAAAATGAGGAGGAAGAGGGACCACCTGCAAAGCAAGGTATCGTTTCCTGTTCCACTGATGCAGAAAGACCCCAGAAGTCAAAATTCACATGTATTTCAAAATGAAAAGCTGCACTTAAATTCATAGTTGAGAAGAAAGATGGCCAGTCTACCTCTTGTATAAACTATTTATTGTTTTTTTCTTACAAAAGTCCCAAATAAATTTTTTTAAATATAAAAATGTTTTCTTTCCTGTTTGCATGTGATATTTGTGTTTGTCATTGAATAGATGCAAACTGACTTCTGTTTAGTAAGCCTGGCTGGGCCTAGTCATGTGTGTATTATGTTTACATACATATAAGCAATTTTCCTACACTTTCTACTGACAGGCTTGCCTAAGATATCCTGTCTACATAAGTCCAGCACAGATGTTGTGTTTGCTTAAATACAGCTAAGAGCACATGTGGGAGTACACAGGACTCCCCTTTTTCCATTCAAATTCATACTTTTCTTGCTCTTCCCTTTCTTCCTTGTTACTGATGATGTAACATTGCATCTGTACTGATGTTAAGCCAACTATAGCCAGCAATTATTGAAATCTGGGTTTAAAATGATTACATTGCTAAATAACCCTAGAAGTTCATTACAACAAATTGTATTAGCTAGAATCCTAATGGTGTCCATGTAACATTTGCATAATTTGTCGCAGCTAATTGGTGATGTGATGGAGTCCACCTTGGTCATATGCCTAGTCATTCAGTCAACTGTGTAATGAAGATGTGGTCTGGCACCTTAGCCTTTAGCTCTGGCAAGTTACATAAACCTTACCGGAATGCCAGTAGGACTCTGTAAAATAGAGGCAAAGAGGAATGATCAGGAAATGGCACTTCAATCTAGGGCACAGAGATTAAGATATCCTAGAAAGGATAATGTTGGGCCCATGAAGGATAGGGTAGTAACTGAAATGAAATGAAATTGTATTGAAAACAATGATAACAAACCTTTCTATCCTGTATTTACACATTTATAAAAATCTCCACATTGGTACACGCTGGGCAAAAATCTTGTTGCACAACTATCCGGACACAACTCAGTGTTGTGCTCGTGGTTAGAAAAGGGGGTATTCGTATACAAATATCCCCCCACAGGTGGAAATTACAATGGTCCGGCCCCACGGACTGTCCACTCACCATTCTGCTGCTGATGCAAGCTCGATGGAGCCTTACTATCACGGCGTTGTCCGTAATAGATTAGCCACTCCTGGCAGGAGGCGGGATGACAAGCCTCTCGGTCAGGTCACAGAGTGGCTAATCCACTGCGGAGAACAGCACGATAGGAAGGCTCTGTTGAGCTTGCGTCAGCGGCAGAATGGGGCTGGACCCTCGTTATTTCCACCTGGGGGGGATATTCGTATACGAGTACCCCCATCTCTACCCATGGTAGTTATAATAGTACTGAGGTAGAAAATGCTATCAATGAAGCACTTCTGGAATATTGTATGATTGTTCCTGCCAGGGATACATAATCAATCACACAATTCCATTCTGCTGTGCATAATGCCCAGCACATTTTTTTGGCATAAGCTTTAATTACACATGTGTGAACAGGATTTTGCCAATTAAATTAATAAAGAGCACAAGCTACCAAGTTACAACAGGCTCTTTATTTTCCATTTAAAAATCCTGTCCAGCTAGGCTTCAACAGTTTCTTCAACCCAGTTTCTTCAACAGGAAAATAATTTGGTTCTTTTCCCCAAAGGCTGTTCTTTACCTTTAAAAAGGAGGCTATTCTATTATCTGGAATTTATTTCATCAATTAAACATTCCACCAATAAACATATTGTTCTCTCTGTTTAGATCAGATATCTCTGTGATTTCCCATTGTATAGGGGAAAGCATGTTCATATGCTATAGTATTCACAGTAATCAATATTCTGTGCTCAGATAGACACACATATTACTAGATGTTGCTGAAGATGCAATGTAAATACATTTATTAGGACATAAGCGCCACTGAATAGTGGGGCTTACTTTTGAGTAAATATAGGTGTGGCTATGAAACTACAGGTAATCTTACAGATTTATACTTTTTGCAACTAATTTTTGCAAGTCACTTGTACAACCCACTGCATATTGTTCTGTACCTGCTTCATGTCTCCACCTGTGCCTTTTTCGTCCAGTTTTTTTTTTTTTTTGCCCTATTATAAATCAGATCCAACTTGATGGCATATAACATCTACCGTATTTGCCGGTGTATAAGGCGACTGGGCGTATAGGACGACCCCCCCAAAACATTCCCACTCAGAATGTAGAGTTTGTTATATACTTGCTGTATAAGACTACCCCCTCTTCCGCATGCGTGATTTTGCTTTGGCTGCTTCATGGGAAGAGTTCCTTTTGCCCCTTTTGGTTCCTTTTCGGAGAGAGCCAGGGTTTACTGGAAGAAGGAACAGCAGAGAGGCGGCAGCCATTTTGGAGAGGCGGCAGCCATTTTGAGAGGCAGCAGCCATGTGGTTGCATCTCAAAATTGCTGCCGCCTCTCTGCTGTTCCCGACAGTCAGCTGTTCGGCGCTAGAGTCAGGGTGTTCCCAGGCTAGGAGCGGGGCGCTACTCGGTCTTACTACCAGGTAAGTGACTTTGCTGGGAGAGAGGGAGGGTTTGCTGGACATGCACCCGGTGTACAAGACAAACTCCCCACTTGGAGGCATGTTTTTCAGGGCCAAAAAGTTGTCTTGTACACCGGTAAATACGGTATATTCCCAATCACCTCTGAAGTACATGCTCTCTTGCACTAGTCTAGATTTAGGCAAGCAGTTCTGGATTTGGTTGGTGCATAGCCAACTAGAGGAACAAAAATGTTCCACTTAGAAGATTGCTCCTTGCTTTTAATAATCAAGATTGGAAGTCAGGTATTCAAAGATGTGTGAAGGGTTCAGTTTTGGAATTATAGTGTTTACTTCCTGTTTGGTTTCCCAAGCTTTATATCTGTTACGGTTTAGCCAGAATCCTGTTGGGGGGAAATGATGTGCATAATAGTAGCCATACAGGTAGTTCCCATCTTTGTTAGGCTCTCCGTCATATGACAGAACTTTTCAACCAATGAGCAACTGGTTTTCTAAAAAAAAAGTAACTTTTTTAAATTTCATTTTTTAAAAAATATTAACCTAATTTTCTCCTTTAAAAGGACCCAGGGCAGTTTAAAACAAAGGCAGTAATTAAGTTAGCAATGATGAATATACAATACTAAAAGGATCAATAAATACAAAAACATAAGCGAGGCGAGGGCGCGAAAATGGCTGCCGGCCATTAGAAAGCTTCGTTGAACGGTGAGTATTTGGCTCATTTGGAACGCATTAAACCATGTTTAATGCGTTCCAATTGAAATCCTTGCCCCGTTCAACGATGCTTCAGCATAGCGAAGGTTAATCCGGAACGGATTAACCTCGCTATGCGAGGCACCACTGTACAACAGTCCATTTCAATCACTTGTTTGATTACTACACGGGCAATTACTCTTTATGAGCAAAATTCTGATCTGTGAAATTCAGACTTATGTTGAAATTATAACAAACATAAATCTCTATAGGGTGGTTGTTTACTAATTTGATGGGCTACTTACTAATCTGCTTGACTTTCTTTAACTGTTAAGTGGTATCAGATTAAAATTTGTATCTGATGAAGAATGGAAGTAATATACCTTGAGCTAACTTACAAGACCCTTGTACAATGATAACATTCATACCTTTTTACATATTGCAAAGGTGTTTGGCCCTCCATGTGTTGTTGGGCCATGGATTCCATTGCTTTTCATCTTTGGCGATGCTAGGTAGGCTACTGAGCACTACATTCCAACAACATCTCTAGCTGACACATCGGCCACCTCTTATAAGGCAGGTTTCGTGACCTGCTTGCGAGAATGAAGGAGTTACACATGATACCCAAATGTATGAACTCTTATACCCATTTCTGAGAGAAGCTTTTTTGGCCAACAATTCTTCTGACAACCTGTTGTTTGATACATGTGTTGTGGCTCATCTCTGAATAAAAGCGAAAATCTTTTTAATTTTTATAGGACCTATTAACAACAATTCTAAAGATGCCATAGACACAAAGAAACCTGAAGAAATGCAACCCAACACTTTGAAGGAAAAAACTGAAATATTAGCATTGGAAGAAAAGAATAAAAGTCTAGAAATCCAGTTGGTCACACTTAGAGAGGAGTTAGAAAAAAAGAAAAATGAGAATGAGCAATTTTCTAAAAAGACAGCTAAGTTATCTCAGGAGCTTTCTTCTTCAGAAGAAAGAGTTTCTGGATTAAGTAGAGAACTTCAGCAGCAGCAGGCTAGTTGTGAGAAGATAATGACTGAATTGGTTGCACTGAGAGATGCAAATAAAGTACAAAAGGAGAAAATTCAGACGCTTCTTCAAGAAATAGAGACTTCTAACCAAACTATTGCAGAACAAAAATCAAAGATAAAGGCAGTTGAGGTACAAATAGGCGAACTGAGCAGATTTGATGCACAGTGCCCTAGGACAGATACTGATTTGGCAAGTCAAAAAGAAATCACAGAGCTTCTAGAAGAGGCACACAAGGAAGCTCATGTCAACATTGGTCAAAACAGCTCATTTCACTGTAGCATTGCAAGCATCTGGGAACTGAGCAAGCAGATCATTCGTACATCTTCTCAGAAAAGCACTCAGATTGAAGATCTCCGCAAACAGGTTGAGCAATTGCAGAGGAGGGATTTAGATGCTGAAGGTGAAAAGACTCAGCTGAAGTTAAAGCTAAGTGAGACAGCTAATCAGATGGGCACCTTCTTGATGGAAAGGGAATGTCTCCTTAAGCAGCTAAGGGACCTACGCCAGGAAAATGTTGTTTATACTGAAAAATACAGGGAAGAAGAGACTAGAGCACTTGGCTTCCTTGAGCAAATTAAGGAAAAGGATGGGCTCTTGGATGAATTTAGGGCAAAAGCGGCCAAAGCAACCTGTTTAGAGCAAGTGATGAAAGATAAGCAATCGGACATCTTAATTATGGAAAAAGAAATGCAGGATATGAAGGAGAAACTTAATGTTTCAGAATCTAAAGTCAGACAGTTAAATGATCAAGAAATACATCTGAAGGCAGAAATTCTAGAGCTGAGAAGTAAACTGAGAACTACTGACCTCCAGGAAAAGGAAATGGAGAAATCAAAGCAGACTATAGAACGGTAAATAACCATTCTTTTCTAGTTCCCATCTAATAATGGGTTCATGACCATAACCAGGCGGGATTAGTGGGATTAGTTTATCTATGTAACGTTTAAGCCTCCTCCTTCTTCTAAGGAGATACGTGTGGCTTGTCTAGGATGGTCTCCTAGACACACACTTTTTGGGTTTGCCCCCACAGTTCCAACTTTGGTAGTTGAACTATATTGTGAAATCAAATTACTTGTTTAAGAGTTTTATTATAGATGGATATGTTCCATGCTTTCCCTTTTGCTGCTGTGGAATGGGAACAGGGAAAAAAATATAAAAATGCCTGAGAGAATAGGCAAGAATACAATGAAAATAACAATGCACCTTTATATTGAGCCCTTTTCTTAATTTCCTTGCAGTTCTAGAACACTGCAAATTGAATCAATGAGAGAGTGATAAAGGGCTGAAACGTAAGACGTTAAGGCTGCAAACTTACACCTAACTGGGAGTAATTCCTACTGAATGTAGTGAAATGTACCTCTGGCGTTGCAAGTTTCTTGTTTTTAAATACATAAAATACAATTTGAAAGGTATGACTTTGGAGCTCGAACTGGAGCTCCAGTTTTGGGACACCTTCTGCTCCATTGCTTGGTAGTAGTTCTTTGCCAATGGACTCCAGAATTATGTTCTCATCTGCAGCTCAGAATATATGGCCTGTTTGGAAACGGTCAGTTCTGGAGCCAGAAAAACATTAGTCATAGGGTGGCAGTGAGGGAGGCTGGGCTCAGACCAACCAGTATGCTCCAGTGAATGCGTAAAAGGCAGAATTATACTGTACTGAAAAATCCACAGGAATGCACAGCAGTAAAAAAGATTCGAGAGCTCTGCTTCTAGCTTGTTAATTTGATGTGTCAAAATCAAGCTGTTGGGATGGAGTTTTAATATATTGCTACCGCCTCTTTCCTTTCAGATTGAATACTAAGCTCTCGGAGAGTACTGCTCTTGTCTCTGATCTACAAAAGAAAATCCAGCAGAAAGATGAAGAATACACAGACCTGAAAGAGAAGCTGGCTGATGCCAAGAAACAAATCGAGCAAGTCCAGAGAGAGGTTTGGAAAAAAGGGCCAATCAGGAAGGCATTTTTGTTATCTGCTGTCTGTGTGTGACTCCTCACCTGTTTTCATCTTCCACAACCTCTTCCTTTTATTTAGATGGTCACATGGAGATGATAATGATATGGGCAAAACCTGGAAACATTTGTTTTTAGATTTTGGGATTTATCTAAAAAGTAATGTTTCCTTGGCTTTATGCGTGGAATACAGTAATGTTAGCACACAGTGATGAAGAATCTAAACAGATTAGCTTTCCAGAGTATTAACTGGGGTGTGGCCTTGAGCTAGTCTTCTGCAATCTGGTGCCCTCCAGATGATATGTTTGGGCTGCAACTCCCTTTATTCGCTAGCCATAGTGTCTGGCGGGTTTAGCCGTGATACATTTAATCAGGAAGATGCCACATTGCAAGCATTTTAAAAGAAATTTGCTCAGCAAGGTTGGCATCTTTGGCCGATTGCTGCCATCTGGACCCCAATAGGAGATCTACTGCTGACTCCCTGATCCTCCCACATCCTCCTTATTGTTTCTGCCTGTTTGTTCTTTTGGCAAAATGTGAAATTGTAAGAACCAGGGGGCAGCAGCATCACTGTTCTTGGCCTCTTTCTTAACAAAGGTGCTGCCTTGAAGAGGAGAGAACACAAGTGAATAGGTAATGATGCCAATGCAACAGAAGTTGGCAGACTCATAGATGAGGGGCTAACACAGGGCATCTCTGTTTCTTTTATCTGGTCTGCCTGGGCTTCTTGGCCAGTCTTAGCATTCCAATTTAGCAATCAAATCAGAATATTGAGGTTGCTCTTGCCTTCTTTCTGAATATGTGCCTCTCTAAAGAAGGTGAGGCAAAGCGTCACAAAATTCCATTTGACGTAAACTCATGGAGTCCTTTTACAGGTATCCAGCATGCGTGCTGAAGAGAAATCATTACGAGGTAAAGTGAACGAACTTGAAAAGGCTAAGACCCAGCTCACTGAAGAGCTAGACATCAAGCAGCGGACAATCCAGCATTTTAAGAAGGTATGATAAAACATGGTTTTACATGGTTCCAATTACTTGTGGAAAATTTGGAAATTAAGCAGTAATAAAGGAGACCAAAACAGAGAGCATGGATTCAAGGACCCACTTCTTAATTTTTCATACCCTTATAATGGTAACATTGCTGTCTATCAGGCTATAACTTGGTAATGGCCTCCAGCCTGCTTCTGCTAGCCTGTGAAGTATGACACAGACTAAATGTCCATTTTATAGACAACCCCAATTTTTTAGAAGGAGTTAAGCTTATCTTCAAATCCGACTGGCTCCTTTTGTCTGCTTTAACTACATTCAAAGGGCAGCTGCTATATTGCTGCTGAGACCAGTGGGATGTAGGAATATGGGACTGCCGTGTTCATCACTCATTGGATAATGAAGCTAAAGTTTTGAGCAGGCAATTATATTGATATTTCACTTTTTGTTCATGTGTCCAAATTAGGAAGAGCTAAATAAGAAACTGGAGAAAGTTCTGCAGCAGTATGAGAGTGCATGCAAGGGTAAGTGTGCTCCAGGTGCAGTGTGGTGAGAGGGGAGAGGATCTTTCCTCTTTGCATATACTTCTAGCAGTCTTGGGCTGTTCTGATTTTATTGCCGCTGTCTTGTTTTATGATGGCCCTAATGTTTTTGTTCTGATGCTTTGGTGATTTATTACTCTATATAGGATGCCTTGTGAACTTTGCCTATAAATGTGGAAGGTGAAACCAATATTTTAAATAAGCAATCAGAAAAAGTGTGCCTTGGCACCAGCAATCCAATAGACCATCTAATAGACCATCTGAATCATATTTATTTACCAGATTACAGAATAGTTTTCTGTAAATTCATATGACAAGGAGGGCTTTAGCACATGACTTCACATTCATCATCAAAGTATGATGAATACTTTGTATCACCATATATTTGAGCAGAAGGTCGGGGGGGAGTCAGGGCACCCTGCTGGAAGGAGGGCAACAAGTACAGCCCTGCTTCTCCCAACCCTCCACCGCAAAGCACGGTCATGAAACCTCTGAATGCAACTCTTTTGAAGTAGGCTTGTAAAAAATGGGTTTTCTTAATTTTTTAGAATTGTGTTCCAAAGAGAAAATAATTGAAGACATGAAAATGACTTTAGAGGAGCAAGAGCAGACTCAGGCGGAACAAGACCAAGTGCTTGAGGCTAGGTTGCAGGAGAGTGAAAGATGTATTGCAGGTAAGTTATGAGGAAAGGATCACATTTCTCACCCTGCTCCACCTTGCCTTCTCTACATATAAAACAGTCTCCTCCACGTGATGGATACACTGTTTGAAATTTTTAAAAATTCTTCCAAGCCATGGTGGTGTCTGTGGATGGTATTCAAACTCCTTGCCTTCTGGGTACAGAGCCATGTTAGTGTGCAGCAACAAAACAAGACCTATAGCATATTGGGTTATTATTTTTAAGACCAACTCATTTATTATGATGTAATACATTCCATGGGTTGGGATCAATTAATCAAATGCATTACATTTTATCTTCATATCAATGGATGAAGAGAGAAACAAAATGGAAACAGTGGCTTGGAATTGTCCTGGCCTTGTCCACATGCAGAACTTCCTGTTGCTTGGATACTTGGGTTTTTTCCCAAGTCTGGCCAAGGAGGCATTTAGTGGCTCCTTGCACAAGCCCAAGCCCTGTCAGTTACAATGCAGTGATCTCTGGCTTGGATAATGGGATGCCAGCAATCACACGGAACTGAATGGGTGGAGTGCAACATTCTGCCTGAGCCTACAATGACCATTCCTATCCTGGTGACCTCCAGGTACCTTAAACTGTATATCCCATCATCCCTATCTGATGGCCATGTTGGCTAGGAATCATAGCCCAGTGTATCTGACCCGACACCAGCTGATGGGAAAACTAATTTATGACAATTCATATATATATAGATTCCAATAATAGGTCTGGCCATGGTGGTCAGGGTTGATATGAGTGACTTCTAATAATGCTGGTGACCTCCAGGTACCTTAAACTGTATATCCCATCATCCCTATCTGATGGCCATGTTGGCTAGGAATCATAGCCCAGTGTATCTGACCCGACACCAGCTGATGGGAAAACTAATTTATGACAATTCATATATATATAGATTCCAATAATAGGTCTGGCCATGGTGGTCAGGGTTGATATGAGTGACTTCTAATAATGGAGATTGTTATAGATTCCAATAATAGGTCTGGCCATGGTAGTCGGGGTTGATATGAGTGACTTCTAATAATGGAGATTGTTCAGTCTCTTGCACTGTTGTTACTGCATTTCTCTTTCCTGTAGAACTGGAAGAGTGGAAGAAAAAATATCATGAACTGGAGAAGCAAAGCAGTAATCTAAGGCAACGCAACATTAATGAAGAATGTGAAAAAAGCACAGTGTTGCCTAATAAAGAACTAACAAGTTTGCAAGAGAAGCTGAAGGTAATGTCTCGGCCCCTGACGTAATTATTTAAGACTTAGCTCAAACAGCACAGGCCTTTTTCTTAACTACTAGTACATTGTATGCAGGGGAGTGGTATCAGGAGACAGGTACAGTGGTGCCCCGCATAGCGACGATAATCCGTTCCAGAAAAATCATCGCTATCCGGATTCGTCGGTATGCGAAAAGAAAAAGCCCATAGGAATGCATTAAACCCCGTTTAAGGCGTTCCTATGGGCTTAAAACTCACCTTTAAGCAAAAATCCTCCATACGACCGCCATTTTCGCTGCCCGGTATGCGAGGAATGGGCGCGAAAACACAGCGGGCACCCATTTTTTTCCCGGTGGCCATTTTGGAACTGCCGATCAGCTGTTTTTAAAACATTGCTATGCGAAAATCGGTAAGTGAAACAGTTTACCGATCATCACAAAGCGATGCTTTACCATTAGAAACATCGTTATGCGAACACAAAAACGATCGCAAAAAATCCGTCGCTATGCGGATTTGTCATTAAGCGAGGCACTTGTTAAGCAAGGCAGTACTGTATCTAATTGTCTTGTGTGCTCCCAGAGGCATCTGATGGGACCACTGTGAGATACAGGAAGCTGGACTAGATGGGCCCTTGGCCTGATCCATCTGGGCTCTTTATGTTTTTATGGTATTGGTAATCTTGGCAACATTTTGGGAGGACTAAAAGGTCAAATAAACCCAAGTTTTGAGGTATAGGTGGTTGAAACGAAAATGTCTAAGTTGTTTAAAATATCTGCTATGTATGAGTGCTTCCTGAATGTTCATAGTGAATTGAACATTGAACAGGGAAGGATATAAAGAAGTCTACTTTCCTGTCTTGTCTGTGTATAATTACGATTTCTGGCTATTATTTTCTCTGTGTCTGTAGTTACAATGACCAATTGTTATGTCGTTAGAGCAACTTGGGGCCCTTCAGGAATTGCTGTACAATCCTAATGACCCTGATTAGGATAACCCCTTGGTGAGAGATAATGGGAGCTTTGTTGTAACAATGTCCAGAGAGCCACAAATTGTTCACCCTTGGGGTTTAAGTCTGATTTCCTTTGGATTTCACATGGCTTTAATATGGATCTATTTTCTGGTTTAGACTAGAAACTTTGCGTTTTGTTCCCTCACATTTGTAGGGGGTGGGAAGGGAAAGAGAGGAGCCGATAATCTGTTTTATTCTAACTATCTTATTCATAATACCAAACTGTTTGCCCATAGGTTCCCAAAGTGGTCTATATGGACCCCCAGGGGTCGATTTCAACTTGCAGGGGGTCCACGTCAGATAGAAAAAAATTGGGGTTGCACAAGATGAAAATGGGGTCTATGTGAGCAGATCCCATTAGAAAGATCATAATAAACATTTAGGCGATCTGTAATTACATCAAACACAGATTCTGTGTATATAATATTTCATAATATTTAATTAGGTACTATGTACTATCTGTATTGTGGTGTGCTACATTCATGTATACGTTTGTAAAATTATTGGTAAAATTTTGTGGTAAATGTCAGTGTGTTGTAAACGGGATTAACGACATTTTGTCATTTATCATTACTGAGCTATACGGGCACACACATCGCGCGTGTACGTACTTGTTTGGACTTTTATCAAAGCTTTGCACAGACTTGTTTCATTCATAATTGATAAATAGGAGTGTTAGAGATGTTCAGTTGCTTTCTGAGTTTTGAGAAGAAATGTGGCTTAAAAATACATTCAAAAATATAGATAGAAAAGTAAAAGTCAAGTGAATAAAAATCATCATTAGGAGTGCCTAAGAAAAGTAAGTACAAAATTTTATACATATTTTATAGTTGTTATGATTGCATAGGGGGTCTACGGAAAACAAATACGTTGACAAGTGGTCTACGTACGGGACAAAAAAGTTTGGGAACCTATGCTAGAAAGCTCTGTGGTCACTGGATGCATTGAGTTGCAAATCCCATATGACACAGTCTGCATAGCCAATGGTCAGCATTATGGGAAATGTAGTCCAAGTCAAGTGGAAGGTACAGGTTGAGTACTCCTGTGCTAAATTGTAGTTTAGTGTTGCATCTGAATATGGATTACATTTGAAGAACAAATATTTTAATGTCTCTACCAAGGAAAACAACTACATGTTCTTTCCAGAGCATGAGAGCTGTTTTGAAAGCCTTCTCCAATACTTAAGAGGAATCAGAATTAACTCCTGATTAATTTTAACAGGAATGTGAAGAACAACATAAAAGTGATCGCAAAAAGTGGCTGGAAGAAAAAATGCTCCTCATAAGTCAGGCAAAAGAAGCGGAGATGCATCGTAACAGAGAGGTGAAAAGGTTTGCTGAAAACAGAGAACTTCATGCAAAGCAGCTAGAAGGAGCAGTGAGTGTTGAATTACAAGTTTTCAGTTCCGTGTGTTTGTGAAGTAATAATGAGTCTAAAACTGCAGTTCCAAAAGATATACTCAGAATTATGTCCCATTCCATTCAGTGGGACTTTCTCCCCTAGTAAATGTGCATAGGATTGCAGCTTAAATCCTACACAACATGAGTAACCTTTTGATACTATTCCTGTTTATTGTTTAATATAAATTGATTGATATAATGGCCTTCCAAAATCACATGTTGTAACTTCATCTTTATATATTTATTTTATTTATATCCCACCTATCTGGTCTTACGACCACTCTAGGCGGCTTCCAAATACATAAAACAACATGTAAATATAACAAAAAAGAAATTATTACATCAAATAACAAGTTCTACAAGATGGAAAAGGGAAAACAAAAAGTAAACAAAGAGAAAATCAAATATGAACTGGCGCAAAGGCCTGCGTAAACATCCATGTTTTTAATGATACCCAGTGAAGGGGCCGCACGAATCTCCGGAGGAAGGTTGTTCCAGAGGCGAGAAGTTAACACCGAGAAGGCCCGGTTTCTTGTTTTTTCCTTCCGGGCCTCCCTCGGCATCAATAGGTTTTTATTTGTGGTTATTACCTCTTGGGGAATGTGGTGGCACTGAGGGCTAAACCACAGAAGCCTGTGCTGCAGGGTCAGAAGACCAAGCAGTCGTAAGATCGAATCCACGCAACGGAGTGAGCTCCTGTGGCTTGTCCCAGCTCCCGCCAACCTAGCGGTTCAAAAGCATGCAAATGCAAGTAGATAAATAGGGAGCACCTCGGTGGGAAGGTAACAGCGTTCCGTGTCTAAGTCGCACTGGCCATGTGACCACGGAAGATTGTCTTCAGACAAACGCTGGCTCTGTGGCTTGGAAACGGGGATGAGCCCCGCCCCCTAGAGTCGAACACGACTGGACAAAAATTGTCAAGGGGAACCTTTACCTTTACCTTTATTACCTCTTACCTGTCCTCCAAGAGCCTGAGGCTTATGAGAAATAGAATTGCTGGAGTTTACCCTCAACGCTGCTGTGAGCTCGAAGGACAGCCGATGCCCCAATTGTGAATTTTGTGGCTGAGGATTCTGAATGGGGTTCTCTCTGGTCCCAATGCAGAACCCCTAAAGAGTCTGTAGCATTGAAACTGAATTGCCGGAATGCTTTCTGTACGGCCACTGCTTGTGTAAGTGACACGGAAGTTTTTATTTGTCCAAGTGGCAGCAGCACAGTGTTTGCCACACACACTGATTCATATTTGTGCCAAGATTATTTCTTTGCAGTTGATGGTAAGATGTTGAAAGAAGGCAAGGTATTTTGTGAATGCCTTCTTGTCCAGACTCCAGACTCTAGGATCTGCAGATAGTGCCTAAATCTGCACCTTCAAAAACTGCGCACAGAAAACACCAAGAAACATAGTTCTAGTGGTTGTAAATGTGTTCTCCCGTAATCTGCTGTCTGTCTGTTGCAGTGTGGATGGCAGCATGCAATTAGAAACAACCAATTAAGAAATATTAATCTGAAAATTACAATGTAGTAAAAAAAATAGCATTCAAAAATTAAGTTAATCATGTCATTTCTGTAGCATTGAAACTGAATTGCCGGAATGCTTTCTGTACGGCCACTGCTTGTGTAAGTGACACGGAAGTTTTTATTTGTCCAAGTGGCAGCAGCACAGTGTTTGCCACACACACTGATTCATATTTGTGCCAAGATTATTTCTTTGCAGTTGATGGTAAGATGTTGAAAGAAGGCAAGGTATTTTGTGAATGCCTTCTTGTCCAGACTCCAGACTCTAGGATCTGCAGATAGTGCCTAAATCTGCACCTTCAAAAACTGCGCACAGAAAACACCAAGAAACATAGTTCTAGTGGTTGTAAATGTGTTCTCCCGTAATCTGCTGTCTGTCTGTTGCAGTGTGGATGGCAGCATGCAATTAGAAACAACCAATTAAGAAATATTAATCTGAAAATTACAATGTAGTAAAAAAAATAGCATTCAAAAATTAAGTCAATCATGTCATTGGATATAGCTTTCTTGATCAGATTCATAAAGATTCCTAATTTGTTTCCTTCTCTTTAGGAAAAGCGTTTGATAGAAAAGGATAATGACCTTCAAAAATGGCGTACAGAAAGAGACCGATTGGTAACAGCTCTGGAAGCTCAACTGAATTCCCTAATTTCAAGTAACACAGAGAAAGACAAGGAAATAGAAGAACTGAAAAAGGCTGTATTAAAAGCACCTGGGAAGGTCAGTATGAGATCCTTGCTCCCTGCAGCCTTTTTTCTATTATTGAGCCTCTCGTAAATAATTATTCTGCCTAATGGAACAGCCTGAAATTAGTGTTTGAAAGCAATTAAAATGTCTTTAGAACAATTTCACTCCCTGTGATCTGGGGGAGGGCTTTGTCATTGCTGAATCAAGATGGAAATCTTTCTCTTTCCAAGTGCTCATGATCCAGAATGGTTTTGTAATTTTATTTTTTAATTTTTGATGACAAAAGTTAACAAAATTTGGGAAACACAAATTAATCTACGTGTTGGTGTTTTCAAACAGATTCTGGGTTTTTAATTGTCTCTACTTATGTAAATAGAGAATCATCTTCCAAAATGTCTTTGAACAGACTTCCAGTATTAGCTTAGTCTGTGAATATCTATTCTAAAATGATGAATGTAACCTGCATTATTAGCAATCTTTTTTGTATAAATGGTCAATATTTGGTAACATCTGTTGACATGATGTCATTGGTGTAACTTTCAATGTTCAACTGCTAAAACTTAAGAAGTCAATGTAGGCATTTCCTATCACTCTCCAGTTGTGTGATTTGGTGGCGTGATAAGAAATGCCTTTGCTGACTTCTTGACTCATGCTGCGAACAGGATTTGGGCCAATATATTAATTGTGCAGCTTCTTGTCTTTAAAAGGAGGGTGAAATAATCCTTGAAGAAATAACCAATGGTAGTACCAAGGAAATAAAACAGACTACTTGTGAGAACTCTGCTGCTCCAATATCACCCATTCAGGCAGGAGCAGAAAAAAATAAGATGGACGATGTCTCTGACAGTAAACAGGTAAAATAACAAGAACAATATCTTATAATGCACCTTCAAAGCACTCAGGGTGGCTTATTCAGATCAGTCAGAATTGCAATCCATTCTAAAACTTTTCTGGGCGAAGCTGAGGGGATGAAATGGAGTTGTCTGTCTCCTAGCTGGACCAGGAGACATTTCTTTCTGGTGCATCTGTGGGAAGCCATACTTGGAGAGCTGTGTTGCCAGTGGCATACCTGGTAGCGGTTGATCCCAAAGGGGCTCAGATCCCTTTACCCCTGCTTTTGTCCTGTTGGTTTCTAGGATGAGATGGGGTTCTAAAATGAAGATTTGCTACACTGAGAAGTCTAGTAAAGCTCCCTTCCTCTTTCACTACCAGCTGATATGAGGGGGGCGGTTATTGGAAATGACAATTAGGATTGCACTGCCTGAGTTTTACTGCCCTTTTGCACAATGAACGCCACCTTCCCTATGTGGATAGATGAGTATGCAAGTCCAGAGCTATAGCTTCATTATTTCTACTAGCAGGATATCTTCTACATACAGTCTTACAAATCTGTTTTTATTGCATTTAATTGTACTTCATGTAGAGAAAGAACTGACCAGAAAGCAAATGAGACCTTCGTATTTTTATGGAATATTTGTAGAAAATGGTCTTATTGCTGAAAACTAGCTTCTTTCAGTAATAAAATAGACCTTCCAGGAATGCAGTCCTTGTATAGAGTCTGTTTATGTCCTATTCCCTGCACTAAGCAGCTCCTAAAATCCTTTTGCTCACTTAAAAATTTGACATTGGTGCAGTTTTCATGTAATTCACCAGGGTCATGCTTTGGCTGGCAGCAGTGTTACTAGAAATGTTTATACTTCTTCCTCATCCTGTTCTCTGGGTACTTAATTTCTTAGAGCTTGAGGGAAGCAGCTACTAGAAATAGATGAGGAGGAAGGGTAACATCCCTGGTAGCATCTTTTGTAATTTTAACTGAAAGCATGAAGAACTTACCTGAGTTGACAAGGTATGTCTGTGAGGGAGAGAACAGTAGTACCTTGGTTTGCGAACGCCTCAGTTTACGTAATTTTCGGTTTACGAACCAAACTCCATAAGAAATAAAGCCCTGGTTTACTTTGTTTTCTCTTTTTTCGCACTAAGAAAGGGTTTTCCCAGGGTGCATTGTGCCTATAGCGCTGCCCCTTTCACAGCGCATTTGCTGTTTTGGTTTGCGAAATTTCCGTGCTACTTAACATTGCATAGAATGGTTCGATTTCGTGAACTGAGGTACTACTGTATGTTTATCTCCACATCATACACACCAGGAATCTATATCATATTTGTAATAGGAAATACATATTTGCTTCTGCAATGCTGCTTTAGTGGGACAGATTTTAAGCACTGAGCTAGAACTTCTAATGTCCATGGCGTTTAATTTTTCTTTCTTTATTTTTGGTTCACTTGTTTATTTTTCGACACTTATGGGTAGCATTTTCCAGTTCCAAAATTTAAAAAATCTGATTCAGATGCCTCCCTCACCACACAGATGCTTTCCTAATTAATACAATGGCAATAAAATATCAGTTGTTATTATTGTACAACATTTGGGAAAAATCAAGCAGAGGATGACAGAGGACACATTCATAGTCAGGCTGACAGTCCCAGTCTTAAGTTAGCCAGTGCCATGTATCTTTTCAAACTGTTGGTTTTTGGGTGCTTCGTTTCATAATGAGGGCACCATTTGGAGAAAACCTCTTTCTATACGGTTGCCCCCAAAACCAAGGGCTTCTAAATCAGACACAGTCTTAAAAAATGTAGTTTTGAACAATGCATACCTTTCTTCTATAGCTTAAAGAGGGAGAAATTGACCTGCCAAATTGCAGTAATGCGGAAGACACAGGACTGTTGACGGTAGAAAATACTCAGGTATGTCTTGATTAAATTCTTCTATATGATTTGATCATTAGAAGTGTGTGTGTGTGTGTGTGAGAGAGAGAGAGAGAGAGGAGGGAGAAATCTAGCTCAGATCTCTTAAAAAGTTCTCTTGAGTGCTCCTGACCAGCAGGTGTTCAGTGTTCAATATTGGTTGTTTCAGAGCCTTACAGTTCAGTCTTACAGATGTTTAATTAAGAAGCTAAAACAAACTCTTCCATTTATCGATGAACAAATAGAAGAGTGGGGTGGATTAGTCTCACCTACTACCATCACAGTGCACGCCCACAGAGGACCATCTGTCAGAAGTTCTTCTTGCCTCATGTTGACAGTAATCCATGCAAGTGGGGCTTGAGCACCCATCAGGAGAGAATTAGCGTGTGTAGTTTTGACAGTGGGCATGAGTTGCATGAGGTTCAATGGAACATACTTCTGTTCAAATGGAGTACAGATGTGTAGCCTAAACCCCCTTGCTGTTTGCAGATTTAGGGGCTTATACGTAACTTGCAAGGTGCTATGTGCGTTTCTGGGGAAAATTCAGATGTTTCACTGCCCCCGAGTATGTTCTTACTGTCTGAAATCCCATTGCTTAGCATTGGAAGCTGCACTAGAATAGGCCTGTTGGATCATTGGGGATATGGAATTTATAGAGGACTCACTAAATCCCTACGGATTCAATGGGCCTACTCTAATGTGACTCACTTTCGCACAGTAGGCCCCTTTGAATTCATGGAATTTATGGAGGACTTGACTCTCTAAATTCCCGTTGATGGACTTAATCTAGTATGATTTACTTGACTAAGCGACAGGATTTCATCCATTGTGATTTTTAAAATATATATGCTACCTTTCTCCCAGGACTGAGACCCAAGTAAGCTTACTATATGGATAAAAGGCAGTATTGCTAAATCACAATGAGTACAAATATTAAAATATGATATGATAATATGGGAACACAATTAGAATGCTTTAAAACCTCTCAGTTGAAAGGCAGGTTGTAATTTATAGGAAAAATACAAGAAACCCAGCATATCCAGTCCCACATTCCTTGCTGTTAGTTGCCAAAGGCCTGGCTGAATAAAAAAAGGTCTGTCTTTGCTGGGAAATGGACATCAAGGGGGCAGCATCCTAGCTTCCCTTGGCTAAGAATTTCAAAGGCTGGGAGTGACCATAGGGCCCCAAATGCTGGCTTCAAAGCCTAAAGAGGCACATCGGAGAGAATCTACCTTTTCAGAATATAGCTTTAGCATTGACCCGAGCTGTGTAGGGATTTATTGGTCATAACCAGTACGGATTTGTGCTCAGAAATACAGTGGTAGCCAATAAAACTGTTGAGAAAAGGTGTTCAAGTTAATAGGTTTTGAGAGTAACCCTTACCATATGCTTGTTGCTGTGTTTCTGTAATTCTGCAAAACCTGTGAAAAATATAGTGTCCTCTTCCTTCCAGTGAAAACTGTACTGCAATTGCTTCCCATCTGGGAAGTGTAAATTTTGGCAACTAGTGAGAGTTCTTACTGCAAATGTTAAGCAGCATAAAACGAACGCAGGCATGTTGTATGATTATATTTCCCTCAAGGCTGTTTTATATCTTACCTTGGAAGTGTGTGTACAGTATTTCTCCCTGATTTCTATACTGTTCCATCATAATCACAGAATCAGTCAGACACGGTCCTAGATTCTTGTGAAGTCTCTTCAGAGAGTGACCGGGCCAGCCGCTTTCCAAAACCAGAAATGGAGATTCAGTTCACACCTCTGCAGCCCAATAAGATGGAAGTGAAGCATCAAGGGAGTCCTTCCATGGTGACTATAAAAATGGCAAAGGCAAGGAAACGGAAAAGCAGTGCGCTGGACGAGGTATCAAAATCTGACAGAAGGTGAATGTGTCTTTGTTGAACACTATAAATAGTATTTCCTTAAAAAATATAAATAAAAAACATTGATCAGAAAATTGCCTGATGTTGCAGTCCTTATCAGACAGTCCTAACTGATCAAGATGGCCAAAGACAGTCTCCTGGGTTTGATGTTAAGTACATACAAGTACCTTTACCCAGACCTAATTTAATGCTTGCAATGTGGTTGTGCCCTTTGTAGACATAAAATCTCTGCAAACGCTGAAACCCATGTAGAAAAAAAAATGGGGAAGGGAATGTTTCCAGGAAATGTTGCCAAAAAGGTGAAAAATATGCAGTAGTATATTCATATCAAAACTAGATTTTTGCAGCATTTTTTGTATAAAACATAAATTCATTTATAGAATGTTTTCTTCATAAATCAATTAACATGTAAAATTGTATTATTTGGTATATATGTGAAATTTATGAATAAAAAAGGCTTAGGGTTTTTTATGGGCAAAATTGTGAGTGTATTTGATAGTAGGAGTGGACAGCTTTGATGGGTCTGGGTGGCAGAAGATTTCTCTCAGTAGAATAGGATTGTGCCTGATTTTCAGTCTCTAAATCCTGGCCCTTTTTTGAGTCATTATTGTATTATCACAATGGAGTAAGCCTGATGAACCCTGTTGGTTGTGTTCTTGTGTATTGTTCCTTAGTAAACATGTGCTGGACTGCATCCTTGATTAAATGCCTCCTTGTGATTAGTTCTGTATTTTCAGTCTTCCCAGTTGCTTGGAACAATTCATGCTTCTCTTTTCTTTATGCTAAATAATCTGCATACACATAGCATTGCTGCAATATAAGGATCCTTCTCTGAACTTTTGAGAAAGCAAGTGCTAGAACTGGAAGCATGGAGCACAATTTCTCTCCAGAAGACTGGGTATAATGTCCAGCTAGCTACTACCTTGTCTTCTATGCATTTGTTGGTGACTAAGCTGCAGGCAGGCAGACTAAGCCCATCCACAGGGCTCATCTCTTTTTCCCAGTCACAGCCCAGAAATCTGAAAGTTCATGTCAGATTTGACCTGCCAGCTGCAACCAACCGGCCCTCTTATTTTGGTGTCATATTTCCATTCTGGATATCTTCCAACATGGAGAGTGACAGATTTGTGAGACACATTGTACTCATAAAATACAGTATCAGCCTTTCCCTTTTCAATGAGTGGCTTGCAGATTAATTATTAACCTCACATTAAGGTAGCTTTCTGCCAAAGAACACTGCTTATAGTGCTTTCAGATCATAGACTATAGGAACTAAGAAATATTAAGATCGCCTTGTAGTTGTTGGCCTTGAGCTTCAAAATGCCTTATTCGTGAATGGGCATGCCTGACGGTATTGCAGATTGAACACTCAGAGGAGAAGAGTTCATTGGCAAAATAACTCTCTTTCTCCTCAACTATTTTCCTTCAAGAGCAACAAACTATCAAGTGGCTGGAAAAGCAGACTTAGAAATAAATGCACTTCAGATGGTATCAGCCAGGTACTGAATCCCTTTGAGCTGTTTGCTGTAGATGTATAGGTACTGATAAGAGTATTTAACAGTATCTTCTTTCCATTCGTATTTTCTTTCAATAGTCCATTTAGATCACAACACTTTTAGCAGCTCTGAATCATCTGCCGCCTCTTGACTCTCTCTCTCTCTCTACATTCTGGATGATCCATTATTCTAGTATACGTGTTTTCCCCCTTTTGAACTGATGCTGCCTAACAACTGAAATCAAACACTTTTAGCAGCTCTGAATCATCTGCCACCTCTTGACTCTCTCTACATTCTGGATTTTCCATTATTCTAGTATATGTGTTTTCCCCCTTTCAAACTGATGCTGCCTGACAACTGAAATCATTCCTTTGTCCAACTTATATCACTCAACACATATCTACTTGTACCTAGAAATATGTCTAAAGCTGTCACACATATGTACCTGGAGGTAAAATATGCCAAAAGGGATTGGACAACAAATTGTTCTGGAAGTTTGAGATATTCAGTAGTGGTACTAGCACCATCAGTTGTGAAAGCTCTCCTTTAGAATAAAGAACCTAAAATTATGGCAGGAAGTCCAAGTGCTCTCTCCTTGATGTCTGTCCAAATGCAACCCATGGTCTGGATCTCCGTTCATCATTTAAGCTGGGGATACATGCAACTTTGGTACCCAGTGTGGTGTAGTGGATAGAGTGAAAAACTAGGAGGCCTGGGTGCAGTTCCCTGCTCAGTCATGGAAACTTACTGGGGATGTGGAAATGATAAAACGACACCTTCAATACCTTACTTACCTTGAAAAGCCCTATGCAGATCATTATGTCAGTTTCAACTTATCCACTCTTCTTATTTTATACAGTATCAAGATAAAACACCTTCTTGTAAGACATTGGCCAAAATCATCTTCCATAACTAAGCAAATAGTGTAACGTTTGGAGGCAAAATGCCCCAAGTGAAGAAATCTCCATAGGCATTATTAGTTACATGCTGAATCACATAATTCAGTGTGCAACAGATAATGTCTACAATGATTTCTTAAGGCAGTTCACCTCTAAAAGTGATGTTGTTTGTGTTATACCAGCACAACCAGGCAAGAGGACTGGAACCCATAAGTTAACTCGTTAGTTAACTTTGGAGCACAGCCAAACAACCTGAAAAACTTACAATAACCATTGGATCCCGTCTGTGAAAACCTTCAAAAATACATTTAATTAGTTAGTGTTAAATGATTTGTGTACTTTTGCTTGCACTGCTGAATCATACAAAGTTTCAGCTACTCCAGCCTTAGCAAAATAAAAGAAAACAAAAGCAATACAGCAATTAGCAGCTGCTAGGTACTCTGCCAGGCACTGTGGCTAATATTCCTTTGGTGCATATTGCAATCTGCCCTTTTCCTCTCCCTGATCCTACAGCCTTCATGTTGAAGTTTTTTAAGTATTCTTGAAGGCTTTCACTGCTGGGATCCGATGGTTGTTGTATGTTATATAAGATCAGTATAGTTCTGCAAAAGAGGGGAAGGAAAAGAACTTGACCATTCTGTCATCAAAAATGCTATTCATAAAGTCCTTGCAGTTGCCCATTTCACTGGTGAAATGTTTGATTAGTGCTAGAATGCTATTGGCCTGATCTGTGTCTATCAAAAAGATAAATGTAACATTTCAGTCTGCCACAAAAACAGACAAAAATATAGTAAATAGTGGAAATTTCTCAATGATTTCCCCTTTCAGAACATTTTCTTGTGTTGTCCCAATTTAAGCCATGTTGTGTGATAGTTTTATAAATGTTTTGAACATTTTTACAGATTTCTCCCCCCCCAACTAGAATTTAGCAAGTCAGCTTGAATTAATAGATGGATGTTGAGCATGCTGTTCTGTTTTTAAGGACTTCTTGAAGAGTGAAAATGAGAGGAATGCTGCATCCCCATCCAACATGAGTGCAAGCTGTGATTCATTAAGGGTGGAAAAGGTATGGGTTGAAACCATTTTCTTTCATCATTTTAAAATGAAGATCTTAATCACTTGGTCAGCTATGCAGCAGTTCTATCTTCTGAAGCAGATGGTCCCAGGCTGGGCACATTACCTCTGACAGAAGTTGGCAAAAGATAGTTTGAAATTTACTGCCGACTTCCAGTAGATCAGCAAAAATTTCTGGCTTCCAGCAATAACAAAAAGCCTTATTTCTCTCCTGAAGGCCTCCGTCTCTATTAGTCGTGTCTGTACAGTACAGGAAACAGCAGGGCATTGAACATTACTCCTGTCATAATTGAGTGTTCTTGCTCTGCTGTTGGAACTCAAATCTTTAAGCAGATTTTAGAACAAAATAATTCATGTGAAGAACAAAAGGACTGCTAAATCAACAAATGGTAGACTGCAGTTTTCTAACAAGAAGATTCTTTTTCTAGCTGCAATAATTGAAGGGCAATGCTATCATTCCACAAAGGTCTTGCTCATGGTTGCCATTAATGCTTTGTGAGTCCTTCTGTATCCAGAGTATATCTGCGAGGAAGGGCAATATAAGAACCTGTCTTTTGAATAACTGGTTCTAACAGCATGTTTATTGTTGTAAAGTGCAAGTCTTTAAAAAAAAAATTTAGTGGGGCAGTTCTAGCCATCCTGGGTGAATGGCTTCTAGATGTAGTCACTTCCAGGGATGAGTATGTAGAATAACTACCTTTGGTCTAATTGACAAAAGTCTAATTAACTAAACTTACTCCAATATTTAAGCAAGTTTGGTCCATTAAATATACTACTGGATGCATTGTTAAGCCACAAGTCAGCATTTGCATAAATGCCACCGATTTAATGGCTGTGCTCTAGCTGGGACTGCCAGATAGATTTGGACTTTTGAATTCTGTTGAGCTTACTTTTGAGTAGATATGGTTGTGCTATAAATGGCACATCAGTTCAAGAGTAGGATCCTGTACTGAGTAATAAGCCCTGCCTAAAATCATAAACAGATACACTTTTTAAAATGAAGAATTCTACCTTATTAATCATATTGTAATGTAGTAGGAGTGTGTATTGCCATACAAAGTAATGAGAGCTACTCATAGCAAGCAATAGTACATAGAACAGAAGCTAGCAGCTTTCCCCAACCTTTTTAGTAGTGCAGACTGGCAGAGCCTCTGAGGGAGGCGGGGCGGCCTTTCGTACTTGCGCTCTCTGACGCATGCATGAAGTGGTTGGGGAGAGCACGCGTATTCCTTCACCACTTTGTGCACGCGCAGGAGTGCCTGCCCACCCCACTCCTGTGCATGGGCGCATGCTTGAAGGGGTGAGGGAGTGCGTGCCAGTGGCAGAACCCTGGGAGTCTTTTTTAATTTTATTTTACTAAACATTTTTATTTTACTTCTCGCCATCCTCTGCGGGATTTCAAACGCAGCCACTGGGGCCGGTTCCGGAGCTGGAGGCACCAGTGGCAGCATTGGCTGGCTGAAGGCGGCGAGGAATGCCTACCCCAGCCTCATTGGAACCCGCCGGGAGGCCAGCA